ATCTAACCATCTACCCTAAAATATATTTTTATTGAATTCAGCAACAAAATTCAAGAGTTTTGTGTGTTTTCTACGATGGTAGAAAAGAGGTTAGAAATGAGGTTAGATCTAACCATCTACCCTAAAATATATTTTTATTGAATTCAGCAACAAAATTCAAGAGTTTTGTGTGTTTTCTACGATGGTAGAAAAGAGGTTAGAAATGAGGTTAGATCTAACCATCTACCCTAAAATATATTTTTATTGAATTCAAGAGTTTTGGTTGAAAGAATACGGTGGAGCCAAAAGTGGCTCGACCTCAAAACAAGCATTTTGTGAAGAATATACCAACCGCCGGAAAACAGCGGGTTGCTTTTTATACAAAATTCAAGAGGGTGAGAAAAAAGGTTAGAAATGAGGTTAGATCTAACCATCTACCCTAAAATATATTTTTCAATACTTTTTCAGCACTTTTCCGTAGTTGTATATGAAAGACAATTCGAGATAAAAGTCATAGTACAATGGTATAATATGCTGCACACCGTTTGTTGTGAACCAGACTTGAAAGTCAGAGAAACTGTTACTAGGTGGTTCGTAGAATTTAGAAGCAAAGTCATAAAAGTCCTTACCGATACAAAGAAAACTGTTGTTGCTTGAACTGAAACTTGCATGACACATAACATTTTGAGGGTCGAACACGTTTCTATAAACTGTCAAATCTGTTGGTGGGCGTATAAATTTAAACGGACCGTCAGGTGGTAATGGTTCGTTCTGGTTTAGTAACCGAAGAAATTGTGCCCAAGAACGTTTGTCTACTTCCCAAAATAAAAACTGTGTATCTCTTGGAGGGTTATTTTCAATCCTTTGAAATGAAACTGTGGAGTTCATCTTGTCATATTCTAGCTTCAGATAGTATGTTCCATTTAGTAAAGAATCGTATTTTTCTTGAAATTCCCAGTAGTATTTGTTCATTTGAGTTTGAAAGTCATTTAGAGTCTTCTCAAGGTTTTCGTCTGAACGAATTGTAAAGATTCTCATTTCGTCAAATTTGTCTATTAGACCATTAGAACCTCTATATTGCCCATGAAAATATACTGCGAACATAAATGCGTTAGTTCTTTTTGAAAACAAAACTCTTCTAAATCCTATTGCCTTTGCATCTGAAGGACTTTGAAGCCAACGAATTGGATAGTCAAACCTGTATACTCGGGATGAAATTTCTTCATCTGATATTGTCCTACCAGCATTTGTAAAGATATAGTCTAACGGTTTTGTATCTACTACTTTTGTTCTTTGTTTTTCAACCTGAAACATTTAATATATGTAAAAATATACTGTTTTAAAAAATGTTTTAAAATGGTATGCCATTTCATATTTCTCATCTAACAAACATGTTGTCTGACTGCTTGAGGGTTAGGTTGGTACCATTCGAACTTGACACTTGCAATTCCTTCAATTGCATTCAAAATGTCTGAGTCGGAGTCAACCATTTGTTCTCTCTTTGTAGTCTTGAAAGCGTCAAGAAGTTTTGCAGCTGTTTGTTCATTGCCATTTGCATAGTAAATGTGACCATCCAAATCTGTTACGGTTAGTCTGAGATTGTATCCTTTCTTATTTCCGTCTTGAATGGCAGCAAGTACTCCCATGAAGCCTTCTTTGTTCTTTCCTTCGTCAAAGTTTACTGTAAAGGTTCGACCAGATGTAATTTGACTTCTAACTTCGCGATACTTTTCATATGCATATCTTGTTCTTTCCATGGGAGCATGACCATCCTCTGCACTACCTTTTTTCCTCCTCAAGGGATACAATTGTTCGTCATGTTTCCAGTAGAATCTGGCAAAGCCGTCTTGTCCTTCAACCTGAGGCTCACTAACATCGAAAGGCATGTTCATAAGACGCTCTTCCTCTAACCTCTCTAGTCTGTTTGGATAATTGGCGCGTGCTGTTTCAAGGTCCATTTCGTAGGTCAGACCAGCCAGTTTGTCATAGACTTTTATGGGTCTTCCCTTCCTATATTTAAACTTCTTTGAAACTTTCCAACCATATCTTTCTAACTCTGCTTTTATTCTAGCAGACCTTCTATCCATTCTATGCGAGGGCATTTTTATAAAAATAAAAAAATGTTTTTTTTAAAATGGTATGCCATATAGCTTCTTGAATTTGTTAAGATATAGTCTAACGTATTTTCCATCTGCATCTCTAGCGTTTACATAAGCATAGCCTTCCTTAGTAAAACATACTTGTAATTTCCTATAGTTTACGCCGGTATAAAAGTAGAAAGAGTCTTGTTCTTCGCTATAGTAGTAAAACTCAAGCGTATGCTTGCCATAGTCTGTAATTTCAATTGTTTCATCTTCTAGTTCGTCGACAAATTCGAATACAATATCTCGAAATTTGCTTTTGTTCTTATTGTTTTCAGAACGAGTGACCCAACGCAAGTTCTCAAGTCTATTGTCGTTTCTTATACGGTTTATATGGTCTACAAAAGGTAAATTGTTAGGATTCGGTATAAAATGAGTTGCAATGACAACATGTTTAAAATAGTGTTTTCCACCCATCTTCATAGTAGTATATCCGTTATTTCGCTCCCATTCGCTTAAAACTCTTTTTGTCTCTTTGTTTCTGACTTCAAATGACTCACAACAGTGAATTTCATATTTCTCATCTAACAAACAAGTTTCCCAACGGTCTTCTCCAACAAACTCAGCGTACATTTCAAATAAAATAAAAAAATATTTTTTTTGAAAAAATGTTTTATTTTAAATGGTATGCCATTTCATATTTCTCATCTAACAAACAAGTTTCCCAACGGTCTTCTCCAACAAACTCAGCGTACATTTCAAATAAAAATAAAAAAATGTTTTTACTTTACTTAACATAGCCACCAGCTACCAAAAGTCTTTGACGCCAACCCATACCAGCTAATGAAGGTTGACTTGGTTTAGTCTCCAAACTAAACTTTGGTTTTGGTTTATCTTCAGTTTTTGGCTTCCCTTCTTCTATTGGTTTTTCGTCACTTTTCGGTTCCTCTGACTTTACTTCACTTGCAGGTATGGTTGTGTCGTTAGTATCTTCATAAATGTCATATGCCATTTGTTTTTGTTTTCCTTTCAACTTTTTGTGTTTGTTGTAAAGTTTAGAATATTTCGACTCTAAGTCAATGAGATGTTCTATAATGAACTGTTGGTCGGTGAAGTAAACTTTTCCATCTGTTGTCTCATAAACTCCTTCAGACTTCAATATTTTATTTGTGAGAGTCTGTTTCTTTTTTGAGATACTAGCCGTTCCATTTCTATGAAAAGTGACTTTGTAGTTAGGGTTTGTATTTCCAGACCTGGCACTTTCTATTATTGAATTTTTCTCTTCATCTGTAAGTTCTTTGACAGGTTTTGACAATGGTTCTGAACTTTTTGTTTGTGGTGTCAAATCTACCGTTTCAACTTCTTCGGTCATTTCATCTCAGTAAAAAATTTTAGTTTGGTTTGTTTTCAACTGGTTGTTGTTGTTTTTTAAGTCGGTCTAAAACTTCCTGAGGTATAGGGAGGACTTGACAAACACGTGGTGGTGTAACTGCTGGAAGCCGACAAATCCATCTTGAGCCCATTTGTCTCAATGCTGTATTGTTCATTTCATCTCAGTAAAAAAATTTACATTCCCCACGTTTGAGGCGGTTGCGGTTGGTTGTTGTTTACCCACTGTTGTGCATGGTTATATCCTCTGTTAAAGAATCTTTCACCTTGGTCCATATAGTGCCCTGCTTGGTTATAGTAGTCATTTGCTTTGTTATAGTAGTTTCCTGCTTGTCTTCCTACATTGTCCATCCATCCTTGAACTTTTCCTCTTGTTTCAGGATTTGGAATAAGATTTGCTGCATCTCGTGCTACCTCCCAACCTTTCTGTACGGTTTGTATAATAGGTTGTGCTTTCTCTTTCAGTATACCTAATGTACTCAAAATCTTCCTTCCAATTCCAAATGCACCTCTGGCTAGTGTTCCCACTGCGGGTAAAAATCTAGATGCGACTCCTGCTAATGCGCCAAATAAACCCATTTCTTATGGGTTAAAAATGACGAATTCAAACAAGGACCCGTATGTTTCTAAAGCGACAAAGAAAGCACTCATGGTAAAAATCTTTAGTTCAACACCAAATGCTTGGTTTATGGATATCTTGGAAAACATTCCGAGAGTTAGAACAGATGGACCTCCATACTGGCTAATATTTGTTGGTCAAAACACAAGATACTGTGAAGCCATACCATTACAGTCCAAAAATATTTTAGATGTGAAAACTGCTTTGACAATATTCGTTGACAAATACCATCCAACAAAACTGACATCTGACTATGAAAGTTCTTTCAAATCAGATGATATTAAAAACTATCTGCGTTCAAAAAATGTAAACCAATATTTCATTGTCGACCAAAACCATTCTGCTCTTGGTGTCATTGACAGTTGTATAAAAATCTTAAGAGACTTAAACCAACCACAAGGTGGTGAGGTAGATGAAATGTCATATGACGACAAGTATAGACACTTCTCCATGGCAAAGATGAGACAAGTTTTAAATATTTACAATAACCGTAAACAAAAAGGTTTGGGAAACCACTCCCCCGAAGAAATGAAAAACAACCCCGACTTAGAGAAAGACTATATATTTAATAGTTTAGTCAAAAGAGACAAACAAGAAAGAATGCCAGGCTTCAAACTTAAGAAAGGCGACAAAGTAAAAATAGAAATACCTAAACGCGACCCATATGAAAATACTATTGACTATGACAACAATGGGAACCCGACAGGTACTCACATTCGTGTTCGTAAAAATAGAAGAAAGTATACAAGAGAATATTATGAAGTTTTAGGCAAACATGGCAAAATGTACAGACTGCAAGCAGAAGATAAAACTACTATTGTCAGACCTCGTTTCAAACTTGTCAAAGTTCAAGGTGGTATACTTTCAAAGACAGTTCCTAACAAATATAAGACAACTCCTGACGAATATGCTAAAGAAGTGGAACATGACGACTAAGCATTTCTATACCATGCGTAAACTGTCATGTAAGGTGGCATGTAGTCTTTACTTTGTCCCGTTGTTTGCGTATACCCTGAAACGCGATGTGTATGGTTTCCTCCTCCCTCAGTGTTACTCCAGTAACAATTTATAGCAAACTGAACGTTGTCTTTAACATCATATCCTTTACCTTTTGTCATTGCTGACCAATTCCAATATCTATGACTATGCCAACCTGCTTGAGATGTACTTAAATCTATGTAGTGACTGTGTGCAGGTAAATTTTCACCTGAAATCGTTTTACTTCCACCTGTTTCCTTTGAAGAGTTTGCACAATACAAAAACCTGTCGACTATTTGAGTCCACGTACCAAAACCCAGAACTGTTTCTGGTCTGGTAGAGTTCATTGACGTATAAATAGAGCCTATAGGATATAATGTTTGAAGTATTTCTGTCTTTAATGTTTGAAGCTCTGTTTTGTCTGCTTTCTTGTCATATAAATCTTGAGCAGTGAATTTAACGTTATTTTCATCCTTCATGACATAAACATCTTTACATCTAATGTTTCTCATCGTCGTTATGTCGTCATCCGATGTTAAACCTTGTGGAAAGTTAGGAGGTTTCCAATATAATACATCCCCACCAGTTTCTTCAACCGTTCCTTCAATATTTTCTATAGCAACAGTTGTGAAGAAGTCATGTGTATGTCCAACGTCACTTTTCCTGTTTAAGGTTTCTTGTAAGTTTGTAATATTTGCAATGGTATGTGTATGTCCAACGGCACTTTTACTGTTTAAGGTTTCTTGTAAGTTTGTAATATTTGCAATGGTATGTGTATGTCCAACGGCACTTTTACTGTTTAAGGTTTCTTGTAAGTTTGTAATATTTGCAATGGTATGTGTATGAGTCTTTTTAGAATATTCGTTTTCAGCTCTTGTCACTTCACTTGACATTTTATTGTCAACATATGTTTTGTCTGCTAGTTCAGGATGAGTATGTTCTTTTGTTGCATAAGCTTTGTTAGCTCTTTCTTCTTCTTTTGCTATTGCATCGTCTACATATTCTTTGTCAGCTTTGTTGCCAACATCTGCTTTCAAAAGAAGTTCATTTATAGGTTTCTCGTTTAAAGTTCCTTTTGTTGGATTTATACAGACAGTATGGTTCTTATTGTCTTGAAATAGAAACTCATCTGTCATTGGGTTTAATGTCAGTTTTAAGTTTCCTTCTTTCAATGACTCAGATATCTTAGAATAGTTTGAAAAGTTTGTTGTGTTCTTATTTAGAGCTTGCATAATGAGTTGTCGGTTGTGTTGTATTTCTCTCATAGACGCTGTTTCATTTGACATTTTTATTCTAGATAAAATATGCTTCCAATAGAAAAAGAAAATTCAAGAGTTGCTACAACTAAACCATTAGATGAACTTTTTACTAATGTCGGTCAAAAGTTTGAGACAGAGACCGTAAAGCATGAAGGCTATCGTTTTGACTACCCATTAAGATGGTTAAGAGACCCATCCGTCACAAAAGCTGTTGGCTTTCGTAGAATGAAGTTCATTTCAGAAGCCATACATGGGTTCCCATTTACGGTCGCTTTTGAAGTTCGATACTATAACAAAGAAAAACGTACGTATGAGAAATTTGAACAGGGAAAACTTTTACAAGTGAATTTGCTTGTAAACTTAGAAACAACTCTTCAAGCTTTTCAAGAAAAAATAAACGATATCTATCTCGAATATGCAAAACAGTACAACATTGACGAAGGAGAGTACCATCTCGATATTGTTTATGACAGGAAAAATGCAACTGTTAAAATCAATAGAATAGAAGACCTTGGAGAAGACGTTTATATTTCTACAAAATATAACAACTTGGCATGGTATAGATTTTTGAGGATGTTAAATCAGCCTGCAGAATATCCAGTACACCCGAACTTTTATGAAGTCGAAAACCCTAATGGAACATATGAAAATGTTTTCGACTCAGATGCTATTATAGTTCATGCTTCATTTTCTGGTGCACAAAACTCTTTTTTATGCTTGGCAAATGACTTTTACGAAAAACCTACAAAGCTATATGAACCACCGAGTGGAAGTATTTCAGACTTTCAAGTATGGTTTACTACAGATGGAAGAAAGAGAATAGTTCCATTATACCATGCGTTTTACTTAGAACTTAGTCTCATATACAACTACTATCGAACGGTAAAAATATAATTTTAATACGGTTGAGGTGTTGGATTTGGTTGCCAACTAGACTGTGGTGCAGGTTCAGGCTGTTGTATAACAGGAGCTTGTTCTTCTGGTTCAGGGTCTTTAGGTATAATACCAACGAACTGACCTACTCTTTTACCAATATTTTTGACTCCGTTCCATACTCCTCTTCCGACAGATTTTATTCCATTCCATATACCTCTTCCAACATTTCGAAAGAAGTTTCCAATACTACTGAAGAAGCCCATTTTACTATATGTAAAAATCTAATGTCCACCTAGTCTCTTACGTTTCCTTCTGAGTTCCATAGCATTCTTTAACTGGAGCTCATACATTCTGTTTCTCCTCTGGTAGAAAACATATTCCGGGTCAACTCCTGTGTTCGCGTCATCTGCATAGAGTTGTTTATATCCCACTTCAGGGTTTGTATAAAACTCTTTCCATCTCATATTTGCATACCATGGTGGTAAGCCTAACGCAGCGTCATTTGACATGGCAGTTTGCATTTGTACATCTGTTGGCACTTGACCATAGTTTGCCATTGCAGTTTGTATTCTAACTTCATTTGGAATATTCTCTGGGTTTGGTTGTCCAGGTTGCTGTGCATTCGCTAAGTTCTGTGCGTCCATTTAATATTAGATAAAAATATCTCTTACGAGTACATATGCTGAACATTTGCTGGCATTGGTTCATCTTCATATTCTCTATATCTTTCTGCCACGTCAAATAAGTAAATGACACAATGGAAAAAACCTAAAACAAGTAGTCCTATTTCAAACCACATTTACTTACCAATAAAATTTCTTTGTTGTGACACTTTCTCCGGTTTATAGGACCTCTCTCATATTCTATCTTGTCATATATAAACTCATAGTCATGTATGTCCTCTAACCATCTCATAACGGTTTCCAAACCACTTTTATCGGATGTAAAGTAAAAGCATGGATGGTTATGTAAAACGTCTAAAGTTTCTAAAGAGTCTCTCAAAGTCCAGTCTACTTGGTATTGAAAATCCCATGTGTTATAGAACGGCGGGTCCACTATAAAGAAAACATTTTCCTTGTCTTTATATTTTTCATACAACTCTGTCCAATGACATCTCACAAACTCTATACCCTCAATATATTTTTCTATGTCCTCTTTGAAAACGTTTGTATAGTTAAGATATAAAACTTTTGACATAAGTGTTTCAATGTCATGAACTCTTATAGCACCACTATATAATAGTCTAGCAGATATACTATTCCAGTCTATATATTCTGCTTTTTTCAAAACCTCTCTCACAATATTTTTGTTATCTAATGGTATACGTTCCATCTTACCTATAGGTATCTTTTCTTTTAACTCTTTCAATATTTTGTTTGTGTCTGGTATATGTTTGAGACGGTTCATATAGTTGTCGAAGTCATTGCATATAATCTTTGAGTCAGGAAATATTGTATGGCACAAATGAGATATATAGAAACTTCCACCGAACAAGTCTACAAATGTTAGACCATTCGGTAGTTTCTTAAGTTCTCTCAATAGAATATCTTTACATCTACTCTTATTTCCAAAGAAGGGTAACGGTGGTTTTGTAAAATTCATTTTATATATATAATAAAAATGTTTTTTCCTGAAAAGTGACAGAAAAGTGACAAAACATGAAAACTACTCGGTTAAGGTCATATTTTCAGTAAGGACATATGGGGTAGAAATGAGGTTAGAAATGAGGTTAGATCTAACCATCTACCCTAAAATATATTTTTGCCGAATTCTGTATAAAATTCTGAGTAAAATGACAGATGTTTATATGACACTTTCTCCGGTTTATAGGACCTCTCTCATATTCTATCTTGTCATATCAAAACTCATAGTCATGTTTGTCCTCTAAGACTTCATTTATACTAAACATCTTCAGGGCTAGAAGGCACGAAGTGCCTGGAAGCCCCACTACCTTTTTTTTTTTTTTTTTTTTTTTATCGCGTTAAAAAATGTCGTTAAAATTGCCCACACGCCCTTAATTTACTCTCGGAGAAAAAAAATCGTATGAAAGGGACGTTTAAAAATTGATGTCAACTGAGGAGAGTGATTTTACAAACAGTACCTCCCCAGGATCGTTTAAAAGCGTATATGAGAACGATGTGAAGGCCTCTCAAGAGAAAGAAGCAGTTCAAGAATTAGAACTTAAGAAAAAAAGATATGAATTAAAAATAAAACAGTTAGAAGCAGATATTTCAAATGCAAATGCAGAAAGTTTTTCAAGAGATCAGCTACCATCTGTAAAAAGTGAATTAGAAAAGAGTTGCAATCAATTATTTTTACAACGAACTAATGCATTAACACTTAAACTCGAACAAGCAAAGGCAGAGAGATTAAATCTCGAAAAACAAGTTAAGAGCTTACAAAAAACACTCGAAAATGAGCGTCGTCTTACTAAACAATTGGCTGATGAAAGAGAATCACATAAACCTCCTAGACCGCCACCTTTTCCAGAGATTACACTTCCTGATTTATCATTATTACGTGATAATTATGCATTAATATACAGAAAACGTGCTCTTGAAGAAGAAATTCGTGATGCAGAGCGCCAATTATCAGTTAGAAGGCAAGCAATTGCTGAAAACGAGGGTAAACTTACGAAGTTAATTAAAGATAGCAAAGAGGCAACAGCTCAAAGCGAAGCACAAATCAGACAAGAAACATTAGATTTAGCCCAACTTGAAGAGATGAGAAACAGCCTTAGGGAGCGTCTCGAATCCAATAAGCAGAGGCAGAAACAGCTAGAAAATGAGAAGAGAATGCTTGCTGCCCAAATCGAAGCTGCAGAAGCAGAACAAAGAGCAAAAATTGATGAAATCAACAGAAATTTCCTTGCAGCGCAAAGAGAATTCGATGAAGCACGTGCAAGAAAGAAAGCAGAGATCAGAGAACTTACGAAGAAACTTCATGAAAACGAAGAACTTAATCGCGCAAAGATACAAGAAAAAGAGAGATTAATTCTTGAAATGAACGCAGCGATTGAGAAGAGAAATATTGAAAAAAGACAGAGAGAAGAGGAAAAAAGGAAGCAGCAGCAAAGAAAGAGAATGGAACAAAGACAAAAGAATGGATCACCACAGTCTGGTCCAACACCTGCTGTCTTGCAACTGCAGCAGGAAATCGCAGATCTTGAGAATCAAAAGGCGGAATTAATGCGGAAAAGTCAGGATTTGATCCGAAAAATGACTTCAAATGAAAAGAAACTTGAGGCTACAAAGGCAAAGATAGAGAGAAAATTGGCTGAAAGCGAAAGACAGCTAAAGAGAATGAAGGCTGAGAGAGCTAGCCCTGGTTCTCAGTCTACACCTATAAAGAATACACTTGTTGCAGATGATTTTGTTGAGTAAAACTTATATTTGATTATTGTAATGAATATTAATAACTTATTTCATATGCTATTTTATTCTTCTTTATTTTATCAAATAATTAATATAGTTAATCAGAGATATTCTTATTACTATTAAAAGCCATTCATCTAAACATATCTGAGAGAAAATTTGGTATCCACAACTATGAACTATGGTTACCTAGACATACTTGTAACTATTTTTCAAAATTTTGAATCATCTTTCAGATTTTTTGGTCAGGTTACTTGGGTTTTATCAGTTATTACTTAATCTAAGCACAAATCGTAAATGTTCTGCCTCGTATTGGTGAACTCACCACTGCTTTAAAGTTATATTTAGATTCAAGAATTCATAATCTAAGATTATGGATTTGAAGAGTACCATATCTAATTTTGTATGACAAAATCACTTTGTGATTGTAATTTCATAACATAATTTTACATAATTTTGAGATTATAAAAAAATCTTTGGAAAATCATCTATATAATATAAAAAAACTCTATAAAAATCTTTATTCTGGAATAAAAATAAGTTACTGGATGACTTCGAAGAATGGATCTACAGAAATCTTTTGTTCTTTCTTTGGTTTCTCCTGTTTTTGCTTTTCCTGCTTTGGTTTTTCTTGTTTTGGCTTTTCCTCTTTCTGTATCTCGTTTCTCCACTTCTTTGCAGCAGATTCTCTGATTATACTCTTTTTAATTTGTCGAACTGACTTCTGTTTAGCTGTCTTTCCTTGGAGTTCTGCTTCTCTTGCGTTTCTCTTCTCTTCTTTAATGCGTTCTTTGACTTCTTTGTAATCTCCGCCGTATTTTCCTCTCAAAATCTTTTCTGTCTGTTCTTTCTTCTCCATATACTTTGGATGGTCGGTCGAATAATGGCTCTTCTTTGGTTTGACCCTCTTTGAGTTGTATTCGCAAATTGTTGGAATTTCTGTGCAAAGTTTCTCTTTTAATTCATCTGGTTTGTCGCCTTCGATGGGGTTACCTGAGATATTAAGGTTTTTAAGCTTCAAAGCCGTGATGTTTTGGAGATCTTCGTAATTTGCGATTTGATTTTTCGCAATTTCGATGTGTGTTAGCTTTTCTAAGGATTTAATGGACTCAGGAATAGCTGTAATCTTATTTCCGTTCAGCAAAAGCTGTGTTAACTCTGTAAAACCTGTCAAATCTGGAAAAACTGAAATTTCGTTATTTCCGAGATTAAGATTTGTAAGTTTTGCAAGTGCGGCTGAAAATGTTACTTCAGTTAAAAGGTTTTTGGAAAGGGTAATTGTGTTTATTTCTGGAAAAACTGAAAAATCTGGAAATTCTGTGAATCTGTTCTCGGATAAAACGATTGATTTGACCCATGTGCATTTGGAAAGTCCACCTAAAGAGCTAATACTGTTCTTGTTTGCGATAAAAACTGTGAGTTTCTTCATTCCTGTTAATTCTGGCTGAATTTCTTGTATTTCATTCTCAGACACATCAATATGAATTACATTTTCGCAGTTTTGGATTCCTTCGAGTGATTTAAAATGATTTTTCTTTAAAAAGACTTTTCTGAGTGATGTAAGTGAAGAAAGATCGCACAATCCTGTCAATTCTTTCTCATTAAGCTTAAGTTCAACAATTTCATTGTGAGGTTTCCCTTCAGTTACTGAGTGGATAATTTCAGGGGTGAGAGACATTTAAAAAGTGACATTATAATTGTCACTTTTTTGAAATTTCATAAAAGAAAAACAAAAAAAAATTCATGTTTTTATTTATTTTTATCGAGAGAATCATGTCAATTCAACGATTAGAAAGATGCATGAAGGGTCGTTCTTCTCAAGTTGATACTGATTTATTTGATATTAATCCAAAACGTATATTTTAATTTCTAACAAACAGCATTTGCATACGGAAAACCAATTACACTCGAAATTAAGGTAAGAGTGGAGAAATCCGTTAAAAGAATGTACTCAGAATTACGTTTCGAACATTTATCAGCAGATAAAAAGTTTGCGCCATCATTTCGATACTTGATTGACTATTGTGGAAAAGGAACTGATGGATGCGAACCCATTAATAATTATTTAAAGTATAATCGCACTTTTAATACTCCTCCAAAATTTAATCTTGAATCAAACCTCCGCGTCGTTTTGATTCATCATGGTTTAACAAATGAAACCTTCACACATGTAGGATGCGTTAGTTTTATGATTCCTAGAAATTAATTTTTTTCTATTCTATACTTTTTACTGCGAAAACATTGTCATATGTTATGAAATTAAAAATTTGTTTGTACATATATATCTCTATGACAAAATATTATTATCTTTCAATTTATTTTTTATATGTATATGAATTTATTATGATCATAACTGGAAAAGGGTCCTTTATCGAACTGCCTTTTAATTCGAAAAACAATTTTTATATAATGCATTTTGTGATCAATGAAATGATAAATTGGTCATTTTTATTAAAAAGCCAGTAGGTCTGTCCAAACTTTAAAAAGAATTGGCCTAAAAGCCGGCCTAATTTAAAGAAAGATCCAATGTTACACCAAAATTAAATTAATTATAGTGTATTACCATAGTGCATTAAAAAATATTAAGGGGTAAACTGGTGGACAAAAGGCGTAAGTATTCAATTTTGAATAGTTTACAATATTTTTTTAATGGCATCCACTGAGCATATGGTGTTCACTCTAGAATACTTAGAATGCAAAAGGTAGTTAGTAACTAATAGGTTTTAGCATATCCTCATCAATTTTTATTGTATCTTAATAAAAAATAAATTTAATTAATTTCAAATCTCGTTCAAACAAAAGCAGCAGTATAATTCCTTGCGAAATAAAGTTAACAAAAATTACGAATGCTTATATGAGCATTCATTGAATGTTGTTTCCGGCAAATTTTATTTCGAAATTTCTGATTCTATGAACGAAATCAAGTAGCTACTTAATTAACACCGATTGGTCAGATAAATACAGAAATGCCCGCTCGAAATTTTTGCTAATTTCAACAAATCTTTGATGAAATAAGAAAAAAACTCTTTATAATCTTACAGATTAGATCATTATTGCTAAGTAACTCATATCCTGTTCTATGAGTTGACTTTTGCTAATGTTACACATTCGCAATAGAAAACTGTTTTTTATTCCATGGTATTATTTTGTTGTTACAACTATGAGGATAATGTAACATTATTCTCATAGATAAAACTCCTGTTTAACCTTTTTTCAAATATCAGAAAATTTAATTCTTAACCTAAGAAGAAAATTTTCTGATAGATATAATCTATTTTGTATATTGATGTTAAGGGTGCACCCGTATGTACGTTTATTTGAGAGGAGGAGGATTACCCTCTCAATTTTGAGGGATTCGTTAGTTTATTTTCTCGATGAATATGCAATAAAATTTGATTTTTACCTTATCAATATACTTTATGGCATTCCAAACGGGAACCGCGGTTGGTTACCATGGATTTCCGTCACCGGTCACATTTTAAAGATTTTTAAAGCCTTATAAAAATATGCTTTGTAAATCATTTTTTGTAAATCGGCAAAAATTTGGTAATTTTCTTCAACTAATAAATCTGCGAATAGCATTTATAATACAAGAACAATCTTTTAAAATGCGTTTGATTCATTTTTGTATAATTTCATATAGGCACATATATTCTTCCGGGACTTTCCGTGATTTTACCGTAAAATCATTAGTTTACACCAATTTTCCCGTATTTTGAATAGTTTACTGCACTTTTTCCGTAAAATTGAGTTACGGGAATCCGCAAAATTTCCGGACCTCATTTTTCATAGAATATAATAATAATATTTGATAAAAAGATATATTATTTATATTTTTGATTTTTGAATTACGGAAAAAGTGAATTGATAACTTGATTTTTTTATATGGTTAATTTTTCAAATTATATTATGAAGATCTAAAATATTAAAAGTAAAAAATTGAATTACGGAAAAAGTGAGGTCAAAAGTGAAATAAATTTGCAGAACAATTTTCATTGAAATAAGCTTTATTTTTCATTATTAATAACAATGCTGTAATAAACAGAAATTCATCAAAAGTGACAGCTCTCAATTTTTTGACATTTGTAAATTCTAAATTGAATGAGAAAAATGAAATAATACTAAGCATAATACAATATTCTAGATTTAATTATAATTAGGAAAAGTTAGTTTTGAGAGTACTTTTCATAGGCATATAGAATGAAATCTTCTGAAAAATAATATCACATAAACTCATATTATTTTCTAATATATAACTATTTTATATAAAAATCAAATTCAATGATCTTAAAAGCGAAGGATAAACCTCAAAATTTACGAATATAATGAGTGGGAATATAATGCTTATCTATCATAAAACCATATGAAATATCAATTTTTGCTTTACGCCTAATTTTTGACGACAATTAGCAAAAAATGTTAAATGTTAACACTCAGTCCATTTGAATATGAAAAATAAAATTGACTTTGATTAAATGTTTTTATTTATCATGCAATTCTTCTTGCGACCAAAGATTTGAATAAAAGTTCAAAAAATAAGATAGCTTAAAAAATAATATACGGTAGTGTTTACTAATAGATGAATAGTATATAAATTCTATTAAAATGGATTTGATCCAAAAAAATATATAAAATTTGATCATAAATAAAATCGTTTTAAATTACTTCTTCATTTAAATTATAACAATTATTTTTGGTTTTATAGTTTTTAAAGCTCATGTGGTTTTTTTAACCACAGAATACTTATGTGCTGTAGCAAGCTTGCAATCCAAAGCTCACGTTAGACAACAAGAATCATGAAGTCTCATACTAAGGGATATCCAACATATATTTTAATAATCTAATGTTTGTGACAAATATTCAACATAAAATTAAGTTTTCGTTTCGTTACAAGGCATTCATACTTTGGAGATATCATATTTAATGTACAGAAAAGTTAATATTAAACAATACATGCTAAAGAATTAATAAATAAGATAATAAAATAAATTTATACGTAATTACTTTCATTTAATATGCTTTATGCTGTATAATATTGATTAAGAGGCATTAAAAGGTTCCATAATCTGCTTTTATAGGCAAGATTTTTGATAAAAATTTTAAATTTTGAAAAATGATGAGAAAAGGAAAAAAAAGGTAAATGAGAGCAAGAGGAGGGAAAAAAAGAAAAAGAAAAGGAAGGGAAGGGAAAAATAAAAGAAAGAAGGACATATAAAAATTTAGATGCGCATTCTTAATGCCGAGGCGGCTTGCCGCCGAGGCGCGATTTTTTTAGGCCTCTACGGTAACCCGGCAATGTTTTTTTAAATCTTGTACAGCCCTAATATACTTCATATAATATACACATGTTCATGTAAAAACTTTTTTCCAAAATCCTCAGGAATTAAGGGATTTTTGAATTTTAAGAATTTTTTTCGAATTTTTTCGAAAAAAAAAATATTTTCAGAACAGCCTTAACGGCTAAGATTTAGGAACAATGTTAAGTATCAAAAAGAAAGGAGGTCTGATATAGACAACATATATCGTTGAAGGTTGAAAAAATCTCTAATATTTGAGCCCAAAATTTCAAATTTTAATTTTTTGAAAAAAGAGGCCACCCGTATGTACATTTATTTGAGAGGAGGAGGATTATATTTTTGAAAGGGTGAAACATTATGAATATGTTAATTATATAATAATATGTATTATTATAAAAAAGAAAAAATAAAGCACGTTAAAATTTTTCTTTCTTGATTTTTTACAAAATCTACTTAGAATTATGCAAAATATGACTAAATAATTATAAATTTCAAGTTAAATTTTAATTTTGATAAATAATTTAAATTTCAAAATATCAAGTTCAGTTCGACTATGTATGTAGTAATTCCTCAATAAAGTGCCAAAACCCTATTAAAATATATGAACATTTTCAACATTTTAATGTTTTTATTTAAAAATTTGTTGGAATATGAGCTTCAAACAATTATTATGTAAATAAAAATAATTAAATATATGTATTTATTCGTATTACAACCGTAGTAAGTCGATTCTTCCTTTCTTCTACTGAGGTTTGAATTTGATTTCGAATTGTAAAGAGATTCAAAGGGAAAATACTAGCGGATAAAAACTACCTCCATGAAAGGGTCATAATGGACTCAAGTTGTATTTTTTGATATTTTTTGCTTTTCGAGCCTAAATAGGTAGCCAAGATAATGCCTAAAAATAAGGTTCTAAATTCTGAAGTTTACATGATCCTCTCGTGTGCACCCTTAAATGTAAAATAAAAATAGCTGGGACAAAAGGTGTAAGTGAAATGTGATATGAAATTGTGAGAACCTCATAGAATATTTTGACTACTTTCTCTCAATTTTAAATTTTACTTACGCCTTTTGTCCCGCAGTTTATTTAAAAACTTATAATTTACTACAAAAATAAAAACAATTATTCAAAAAGTTTCTGATAATCACATTTAATTTGTTTTGTAATACCATGAAGCTCGTGAATACAACGATTTAACTCATTGGTATTAGTTGTATCATGTTTCTTCTTCAGAGTTGTTGTATTTTCTTTTAATTTTGTTGTTGAAGAAACAGCTTTATTTTCCTTCGTTGCAATCTCTTGATCATTAACAGAATCTGATCTGTAGTTTGTGTTAGATCGAGTACTTTCGTATCTTTTTGTTTTTGTGTCGTATTTAGTAGAAGAATGATACTGAGGAGGATCTGAATAATATCTTTGTTGTTGTTGATAATATTGATGAGATTTAAATGATGGTTCTTCACCAAGAATACCAAGCATGTGATCACATCGTGTTTGTACTTCTCGCAATGATTTCTTAGCACTGTTATATTTGTATTCACAATCTTCATTTCGATAGTATCTTTCTTTATGTGAATTAATGTCTGTAGCTTTTTGAATAAGATCGCGAAGTTGAAGTCTTAGTAAACGAGGATTATCACGTGGAATTGGAGTTACGATGTCAACAAATGATGAAAGTTCGTGATATATGTCATATCCAAACTCTTCCCATGATTTGTTTTCTCGTTCATTATGTGAAATTTGATACTTAAGATTTTCATTTTCTGCACGTAAATCTAAAATATCTTCTTGTGCTTGTCGAAGTTGATATATTGACTTTTGAATTCGATCTTCGGTATTTCGTGGAACTTGAATTGTAAATTTTTCACTGTAAAACTGTAAAGATTGTTTCAATTTCTCGTTCTCTAATTGAAGTAATTCTATTTTTTCGCGTTGGTCTGATATAACTGATGTCTGTTTTTCGATTTGTGCGTTACAAAGATCAACTTGCTTTTGTAATTCAATCAATTTAGTTTCGTCGACAGCGGTCTTTTGTTGTTGACTCATTTCTGATAATCGCATCAATAATTCTTTGTATTGTTGTTGTGAACTCGAAAGAACTGCTTCTGTATTTTCCAAAACTTCTGTTTTCTTGGAAAGTTCATTCTCTAATACATTTACTCTGGCTTCTGCAGCCTGAAGTGCTCGCTTTAAATCTCCAATTTGGCTGTCATTCATTTTTTTTGCACTCAAGTAAAATTTAGAAAAAAATAAAAGAAAACGGTCACCTCAGAGCAGAAAAATGATATTTGAATTGGAATTTTTAAGATTTTTTTCTGAAATAATAGGCAAGCATATCACCCTAAATAATATTAAATTAATTTCCCCTGAAAAGTCATTGACCGCCTCACAATCTAGATTTTGTGAGTACTTTATCCAGAAGCTTGCTAAAAGTGGGGAACAATTTAGAGTCCTCCTTCAATCAGATAGTCGAACAGCGGAAAAAGAATAAATGGATCTTTCATATTTCATATCTTTAATATTGTTTGTAATAATAAAAAAATCTTATGTCTAATAATACTCACTTCAATTTTTATGTTCATATTATACTTATACAATTGATTTCGGAACAAATTTGATATATAAAAATAATAATTGTAAAAAAATTGGTATTTATTCTTTATTAACCCAAAAAACATAATATACTTACAAAAATCGTATAGTGTATGCTCCAAAATTACTCAAATTATTCGCCACCTTGCTCTTCAATGATTTTATCGACAATACTCATGTAATTTTCACGGTCTTGCATTAACTGCAATCTTTGAAGTTGCCGTGGGGTGTTTCGTGGTCGTGGTGCTGGTTTTGATTGTGAAGGCGAGGCTTTTACTTGCTTTTCTATTAACATACCATTCCTGTCGAACCTGTTTACATCAAAAGTTTGAACGTGTATTTTAATTTTGTGAAATTTTTTATCAGACATTAGATTACTGTCATTTTTTTTCAATTCATTTCCAAAAAGTGCTCGTTTACAAAATCTTTTCAAATAAACGTACAGTTTTAAAATATTGGTCCAAACATCCATGATCGTCCTGATATGAGTCTTGGAAAAGAACATGGAACATATATTATCAAAGATATAATCGAATGTCTTGGCTTTAGTGATGTTTATAGAACAATTTGCTAAGATAGCAGTAAAGAATTTGCAATGAAAGTTGTAAGTATAGAAGCTTCAAAACTTTATATTGAAGAAGAAAAAAAAGTCATGAATTTAATTGATGGTTCTACATATTTTTCAAAATTTTATCAAATTGGAAAAACCTTATCATTCAAGGCTGTTGCAATATAGCTTAATTTTTGTTTGTTTGTAAAAATGTTCTATCATGGATTCTTAAGACTTTTCAAATTAAAGGGAAATAAAATCTGCAATCAAAATTTTTCAAATTTGGCAAACATAATGATTGAATGAATAGCTATCATTGATAGTTTCACACATATTATGGCTGAAGTTAAAGAAAGAAATGAAATTATAAAATTATTTGAATGATTAGAATATGGATTTGATGTATGAAAAATAAAAAGTATTATGAAAGATTAAATATATTTCGTCTTCTTTAGAAAACGGCTGGAGCTACAGATGCAACCTTTGGCCAAAGTTCGGCGGCTTCTTTGGCAACTGGACCTGTGATAGCAGAGCCCTTCATTTCACCCTTATCGTTGATGATAACACCGGCATTATCTTGGAAGCCAATGACAACACCATCCTTGCGGCGCCAGATGGCACGCTGGCGAACAACAACGCCCATGGAGACTTTCTTACGGAGTGCTGGTTTGCCCTTCTTGCATGTAACAACAATAAGATCGGAAACTGAGGCGGCTGGAAGGCGATTAAGACGACCCTTGTGGCCACGAACAGAGATAATGAACATGTTCTTGGCACCTGAGTTATCGCAGCAGTTGATGACTGCACCAACTGGAAGACCTGCTGTCATGGCGAACTTTGTGCCTTGCTGACCAGTACGACCGCGTTTAGACATTGAAGAAAAGGACGCGGTTTGACAGAACCACAATTTACATGATTTTCTGTCACTTTACATTAATTAGATTTTATTATAACATTGCATATAAATATAAATAATGAAAATAAATCAAAATCGATTTGACATCTTAATTTATTACGTGGCAAAGATTTTCTTCAAAATTCATTTATCATATAAGAAAGACAAAATCTAAAATACTCCAAATAATTCCTTTCTTCATTCTACTTTATATTTTGCAAGCTCATCATTCTCAATGATATCTTTCATGTACTATATTCAAGAAATTCAAAACAAACACGTGTTTATTCTTTCAACAAAATAATTCAACAAATCATTCCAAAAAAAACATTTACCGACAATAAAGCTCCACATGATTAGGAAATATCAACAAATTGTTTATCATGATTTTAATTCTACTCTACGGATTTCTCATTAAAAGACAACAAGTATTGTCTCAATGATATCTCCAAACTCTCTTTATACATTAAAATATAGATCTTTTATTTCGTTCTATATTCCTAGAAGTTCATTTCATATCGAAATTATCATTTTTTGTTTTTTGTTTTTTTCTTTGAACTTTGATTCTGTCATTAATAATCAGAGAAAATGCAAACATATTACTCTAAAATTTTGAGATCATTCTAAAATTCCTAACTAATTAACAATAATTTTTCTTAATTTCATATTGACTATATTAAGATTTAATTGACAAATGATAAACTTAGAAATATGAAGTTAGAATCAACTGAGTTATTGATTGATATTGTTTAATATTTTCAACAAATCACTTCAAAAGTTTTTAATTAAATGAGATATAATATGAAAAGATAAAACAATGTGGTTGATCAATATAGGAAAGATTTCATCCAAAAAAGATAAAATGTGAAAATTATATTTTGATTGAATGATTAGAATATGGATTTGATGTATGAAAAATAAAAAGTATTATGAAAGATTAAATATATTTCGTCTTCTTTAGAAAACGGCTGGAGCTACAGATGCAACCTTTGGCCAAAGTTCGGCGGCTTCTTTGGCAACTGGACCTGTGATAGCAGAGCCCTTCATTTCACCCTTATCGTTGATGATAACACCGGCATTATCTTGGAAGCCAATGACAACACCATCCTTGCGGCGCCAGATGGCACGCTGGCGAACAACAACGCCCATGGAGACTTTCTTACGGAGTGCTGGTTTGCCCTTCTTGCATGTAACAACAATAAGATCGGAAACTGAGGCGGCTGGAAGGCGATTAAGACGACCCTTGTGGCCACGAACAGAGATAATGAACATGTTCTTGGCACCTGAGTTATCGCAGCAGTTGATGACTGCACCAACTGGAAGACCTGCTGTCATGGCGAACTTTGTGCCTTGTTGACCAGTACGACCGCGTTTAGACATTGAAGAAAAGGACGCGGTTTGGCAGAACCATAGTTTACAAAAATTTCTGTCACTTTACATTATTATTTATTTTCTTTAAATATCATATTATTTATTATTATAAATAAATGTGTTTTCATTTTTTGACAATCAATAAATTACTTGTCATATTCATATTTTCAGAAAAAGAACGAATCACTTATTTTTCATATTCATTGAAGCTTATATATTGATCAATCTTACTTGCTCCAAATGAAATCAAGTATCAAAGCCAGCCGACTTTATCACTAATTCAATTACCTTCTCTCCATTAACCATATACAAGTCTAAGTGTCTGTAATATAATATACAATTTTGGTTTTACGCAATTGACTGTACTTTTGTCTATCTCAGTACAATAATTTGAACTTCAAGTTTATCCAATTATTTTACAAACGTAAAGGTTATACGTAATATTTACGTTTGTAAACTAATTGAGCAAATTTAGAGAACTTTTTATATCAATGCAATTATTTGTGCGGTAAGTTAACGTAATTAGTGTTCTCATGTTTGCAATCCAATATGTTTATGCATATGATATAAGCAAGTTCCATAAATAAGATATTATTTAATATAATATTATCAATTCCCTAGTAATAGCATTAATTATGAATAACAATTGATTTTAAACTAATTTTAGAACACTTATTATTTCAAAAAATTATCTGTATTTATTTTTCTCATTGTAAATTTCTAGTTTTTCTATGAAATTATCTTTTTTTCCCCGATTTTTTTTAACTCATGAATATCGTTAATTTTACTTTATTTCACAACCTATTAAGAAAAAACTATAAATATATATTAAATTATGATATATGACATTTTCATAATTTTTAATGAATTTTTTTCCTAGTTCTCAGCTTCTAATTCAAATCAAACATTTACCAACGTAAGTACTGGAATTCAAATCAATAAAAGAACAGCTTTCTCAAGATCCTTCATATTTTGAAGGAACTAGAAAGAACTGCTCTCTTAAACGACTTTAAATACGAAACTTTCACGTACACATACAAAATTCAAGCAGTAAATCAGAAATTCATTTACAATTCAGCAAGAATTTTCTCGCATTACTGAGCTGGATACAATTTTCGTGCAACATACTGCTTAATTACTATTTTATTGTCTTTGTATCTATATTACAAGTTTTTAATTTTTGTAAATGTTTGCTATACGTTATAATTATAAAAAGATTTTAATTTTACAATATATTACATATATTTAGACTTGTGTATGCTAAATGGAGAGAAGGTAATTAAGTTACTAAGAAGTATCACAGACTCAATTTTGAATAATTTGCCCATTTACTATAATACTCAGAGTGGAGGCATTTCTAGTTAGTGATAAATTCGGCTGGCTTTGATACTTGATTTCATTTGGAGCAAGTAAGATTGATCAATATATAAGCTTCAATGAATATGAAAAATAAGTGATTCGTTCTTTTTCTGAAAATATGAATATGACAAGTAATTTATTGATTGTCAAAAAATGAAAACACATTTATTTATAATAATAAATAATATGATATTTAAAGAAAATAAATAATAATGTAAAGTGACAGAAATTTTTGTAAATTGTGGTTCTGTCAAACCGCGTCCTTTTCTTCAATGTCTAAACGCGGTCGTACTGGTCAGCAAGGCACAAAGTTCGCCATGACAGCAGGTCTTCCAGTTGGTGCAGTTATCAACTGCTGCGATAACTCAGGTGCCAAGAACATGTTCATTATCTCTGTTCGTGGCCACAAGGGTCGTCTTAATCGCCTTCCAGCCGCCTCAGTTTCCGATCTTATTGTTGTTACATGCAAGAAGGGCAAACCAGCACTCCGTAAGAAAGTCTCCATGGGCGTTGTTGTTCGCCAGCGTGCCATCTGGCGCCGCAAGGATGGTGTTGTCATTGGCTTCCAAGATAATGCCGGTGTTATCATCAACGATAAGGGTGAAATGAAGGGCTCTGCTATCACAGGTCCAGTTGCCAAAGAAGCCGCCGAACTTTGGCCAAAGGTTGCATCTGTAGCTCCAGCCGTTTTCTAAAGAAGACGAAATATATTTAATCTTTCATAATACTTTTTATTTTTCATACATCAAATCCATATTCTAATCATTCAAATAATTTTATAATTTTCACATTTTATCTTTTTTGGATGAAATCTTTCCTATATTGATCAACCACATTGTTTTATCTCTTCATATTATATCTCATTTAATTAAAAACTTTTGAAGTGATTTGTTGAAAATATTAAACAATATCAATCAATAACTCAGTTGATTCTAACTTAATATTTCTAAGTTTATCATTTGTCAATTAAATCTTAATATAGTCAATATGAAATTAAGAAAAATTATTGTTAATTAGTTAGGAATTTTAGAATGATCTCAAAATTTTAGAGTAATATGTTTGCATTTTCTCTGATTATTAATGACAGAATCAAAGTTCAAAGAATGAAAAAACAAAAAACAAAAAAATGATAATTTCGATATGAAATGAACTTCTAGGAATATAGAACGAAATAAAAGATCTATATTTTAATGTATAAAGAGAGTTTGGAGATATCATTGAGACAATACTTGTTGTCTTTTAATGAGAAATCCGTAGAGTAGAATTAAAATCATGATAAACAATTTGTTGATATTTCCTAATCATGTGGAGCTTTATTGTCGGTAAATGTTTTTTTTGGAATGATTTGTTGAATTATTTTGTTGAAAGAATAAACACGTGTTTGTTTTGAATTTCTTGAATATAGTACATGAAAGATATCATTGAGAATGATGAGCTTGCAAAATATAAAGTAGAATGAAGAAAGGAATTATTTGGAGTATTTTAGATTTTGTCTTTCTTATATGATAAATGAAATTTTGAAGAAAATCTTTGCCACGTAATAAATTAAGATGTCAAATCGATTTTGATTTATTTTCATTATTTATATTTATATGCAATGTTATAATAAAATCTAATTAATGTAAAGTGACAGAAAATCATGTAAATTGTGGTTCTGTCAAACCGCGTCCTTTTCTTCAATGTCTAAACGCGGTCGTACTGGTCAGCAAGGCACAAAGTTCGCCATGACAGCAGGTCTTCCAGTTGGTGCAGTTATCAACTGCTGCGATAACTCAGGTGCCAAGAACATGTTCATTATCTCTGTTCGTGGCCACAAGGGTCGTCTTAATCGCCTTCCAGCCGCCTCAGTTTCCGATCTTATTGTTGTTACATGCAAGAAGGGCAAACCAGCACTCCGTAAGAAAGTCTCCATGGGCGTTGTTGTTCGCCAGCGTGCCATCTGGCGCCGCAAGGATGGTGTTGTCATTGGCTTCCAAGATAATGCCGGTGTTATCATCAACGATAAGGGTGAAATGAAGGGCTCTGCTATCACAGGTCCAGTTGCCAAAGAAGCCGCCGAACTTTGGCCAAAGGTTGCATCTGTAGCTCCAGCCGTTTTCTAAAGAAGACGAAATATATTTAATCTTTCATAATACTTTTTATTTTTCATACATCAAATCCATATTCTAATCATTCAAATAATTTTATAATTTCATTTCTTTCTTTAACTTCAGCCATAATATATTCCAGTTTGATTATTTTGATTTTGTCAATACTTTATTTTCTTTAAGATTGATTTACCAATAATGCTTCAATTCCTATTTCAAGTTTTCCCATATTTTCAAATCTTCCTATTATATTCAATCAAGTGCATTACGTATACATTGAAATAATATCCTTTAACATTACACTTTGAATACACAGTATCAAAAGTTCATATCTTTTTATCATGTATATCTATATCTTTTAATATTTCATTTTCAGATCAGCGCCAGCAAATAATAATCTAGATATACTTTATTTTTCTTTTCGAAAGGGTTGAACAATTCAATTTTTTTTTAGTTTCATGAACTCCATTCATTTACTGGATGACCCTTTAACTACAGAGCTGATTTTGATTTCGCATCCATTTTTGAGTGTTATCGCCTTTAGGTCACCATTGATGTTTCCAACTCATAATAAATATCTTATGGAGGAGATGTTGAGATATTATACCATTGTAAAAGGAGAAAATTCTTGACACACTACTTTCAAGCACTTATAAAGTATTTTTCCAGGAATCCAAATCATTTAAAGTTAAGTAAGGGTATTTTATAAATAAAAAATCAAATATTTTAGTATGAATATTACTAACATTGTTTATTCGATATTATGAAATAAATAACAAGTATTAATCACGAATACAAACTATTTCTGACAAAGATTCGTGCTTGTCATCGTTTAAACCGCAAACATAAGGTGTGTGGAATTGCACGAGGTATTTGCAATAATCAGGTTCGGATATTGCTGCAATATATCCGATTTCAGAAGTAGATCTGTCGCAAATATATTCAATTTTAGTATGTCTTGGGCGATTAGTAACAACACATTTATCTCCATTATTCCAATCGTATGATATTCCGTTATAAATCGACTTTGGTTTTGAATCATCTTCTTGGCCTAAAATAAAATTATCAATTGGTATCTGTTTGAGTGGTTCGTATCTAAATTGATTTAAGATTTTGAATGGACAGAACTTGAAAAACCAATATCCAGTATGCGTAAATTCGAAACACTGACCAATGAGCTTTTGCTGTAATTCCGAGAGTGTTTGTGGGTATATTGATGAATTGGTGGGACGGCCAACGTAGCAAGTATAAGAATGATTTTGATAAATTTGAGAAAAATTACTTTCATATTTCTTGATTTTAAAATCTTTTGGGGCTTCAGACAAAAAAGTTGTTTCATAAACAATCTGAGAGACTGAAGTTGAAGTGAGAAAAGAAAACATTTTTGTAATTGTCAAATTTTTTATTCAAGAAAAACATTGTAATATCAATTATTAAAAAAACATTTAATTTTTAAATGTAAAGTCCCAGTAGTATATTGGTTAGAATAGATCCTTGACACGGATCAGAGGCCAGTTCGATTCTGGCCTGGGTGAAAAATGTCACAATGGAAGATAGACCGCAGCGAGAAAAGTGTTAAAACATTAGATAAAAAAAGTTGATCAATACGAATGTTTTAGGAATTAGCGATTTTACATTTCGCCACCATCTTCTTCCTCATCGCCACCTTCGACTGATTCAGCAGCGACTTCGTCGTAGTCCTTCTCGAGGAGGGCAAGATCTTCACGAGCTTCTGGGAATTCAGCTTCTTCCATACCCTCACCGACGTACCAGTGGACGAAAGCACGCTTAGCGTACATGAGGTCGAACTTGTGGTCGAGGCGAGACCAAGCTTCGGCGATGGCTGTTGTGTTAGCGAGCATGCAGACAGCGCGCTGGACCTTTGCGAGGTCGCCACCTGGAACGACTGTTGGTGGCTGGTAGTTGATACCCATCTTGAAGCCTGTTGGGCACCAGTCGACGAACTGGATTGTGCGCTTTGTCTTGATTGTAGCGACAGCAGCGGAGACATCCTTTGGAACGACATCACCACGGTAAAGAAGTGTGCATGCCATGTACTTGCCGTGGCGTGGGTCGCACTTAACCATCATGTTGGCTGGCTCGAAGAGTGAGTTTGTGATTTCGGCAACAGAGAGCTGCTCGTGGTAGGCCTTCTCTGCAGAAATGACTGGAGCATAGGAGCAGATTGGGAAGTGGATACGAGCGTATGGGACAAGGTTTGTCTGGAACTCTGTGAAATCGACGTTGAGGGCACCATCGAATCTGAGGGAGGCTGTGAGGGAGGAAACAACCTGGCCGATGAGACGGTTGAGGTTGGTGTATGTTGGGCGCTCGATATCGAGGGCACGGCGGCAGAGATCGTAGAGAGCTTCGTTATCGACCATGAAAGCGCAGTCGGAGTGATCGATCATGGAGTGTGTAGCGAGAATGGAGTTGTATGGCTCAACGATAGCTGTGGAAACCTGTGGAGATGGGTAGACTGTGAATTCGAGCTTGGACTTCTTGCCGTAGTCGACAGAAAGACGCTCAAGAAGGAGGGAGCCGAAGCCAGCACCTGTGCCACCACCGAAGGAGTGGAAGATAAGGAAGCCCTGAAGACCTGTGCACTGATCAGCAAGCTTACGGATGCGGTCGAGTGTGAGATCGATGATTTCCTTACCAACTGTGTAGTGGCCACGCGCGTAGTTGTTAGCGGCATCTTCCTTGCCGGAGATGAGCTGCTCTGGGTGGAAAAGCTGGCGGTATGTGCCTGTGCGGACTTCGTCGACGACTGTTGGTTCAAGATCGACGAAAACAGCACGTGGAACGTGCTTGCCGGCGCCTGTCTCGGAGAAGAATGTGTTGAAAGCATCATCTTCAACACCGATTGTCTTGTCGGATGGGAGCTGGCCATCTGGCTGAATACCGTGCTCGAGGCAGTAGAGTTCCCAGCAGCCGTTACCGATCTGGACACCAGCCTGACCAACGTGGATTGAGATAACTTCACGCATTGATGAATATGTCACATTTTTAATTATTAACGTTTTTTGGTTGTCAATTTGGCCATCATTAGAGAATTTTAATAGTTATGATTTGTAGACAATTTATTAATTAACGAGCCAAAAATTGACATAATAAAAAAATAAACTGCCAGTTTACAATTAATTTGATTTCACATTTCTAATAATAAAAAACAATCTGAGTCCTGTTGATCAATCCTAAAGTATATATTTGTGCTGCAATACATATATGCCTATATATGTGAATTAGCATGATTATTTGAATGATATAAATCATCCTGTGAATTCCAAAAGATTGTGATTGCCTGATTTACAGATCGAATTGATTCGAAAACTTCCAATTCTTGTACCCATATTTCTATGCATATTATGTTGCATAAGCAGCTAATTATTTCAAACAAGTATTGCAAATATTAATTACTTTATTTTGAAAAGCATTCAGACATATAGTTTCGACTTAATTTACCAAGCCATATGTCAATCCCTGTGGGACCGAGTGGTAACTTGCCATTGAAAGCACGCAGTTCCAACATATTTTTCGTTTTTGAAAACATCAGAAATAGAAAGGGAAGCGTCTTATGGAGTAACGCTATTATTTGGTGTCTTATGAAATAAGAAATTCGATTGTTTCTTTACTAATAGTTTCGATTGCATAATGAAGATCTGTTTGGTCATTATCATCTTTTTCATCTATATTTGCACCAAGTAAAATAAGAAGATCAGCTGTTTCTTTACAATTCCAAATTGATGCATTATGCAGTGCGGTTTTTCCTTTTTTATCTTTTTCATTAATATTTGCTCCATGTAAAATAAGAAATTCTGCTATTTGTGTACAATTGTTTGTTGCTGCATAATGAAGAGCGGTTTCTTCATTTTCATTTTTTTCATTGATATTTGCACCGTGTGTGATAAGAAATTCAACTGTTTCTTCGTTATTTTCTATTGTTGCATTATGGAGAGCTGTTTCCCCATTTTCATCTTTTTCATTAATATTTGCACCTTGTGAAAAGAAATATTCTAAAATGGATGGAATATTGAACATAATTGAATAAACAAAACATTTGTCAATACCATTAGTTTGATCGAAATAAACTAAAAATGATTCGAGATTTTTATATTTTGCGCAAATAGATAAATCGATATCTATATTGTGTTCATTCATCAAGAATGAAACAAAATCAATATTGTGTGAAATAATTGCATGTTTCATTGTAAATTCATCTGGTTTTTGATATTTCAAACACTCGCTCATGATTTCTGGATTTCCTCCTAAAAATGAAAATTCTAAACATTTTTGAGTTATTGGTGATTTAAATTTCGTTCGCAACAATTTGAAACAATCAACAGATCCATTGTAACAACATAATTCAAGCAATGAATATCCTTCTTCAGAATATGGATATAAATCGCTTCGAAGTATTTGTGTTTCATCAAATTCACCCACTTCCATAAAGTGTATGAAGCTTTCTTTGTTGTCATACATAATTGCTCTGAAAATTGTATTTTCTGAACAAATTTCGAGATTATCAAATTTAATTTCTTCGATATAAATAGGGTGGCCTAATTTAATTCCATATTCTTTATAAAACAAGTACTTTGGAAGAATGTTAAGAGTGTCGACATCTTTGACATGATAATCATCAAATATGAGTTTGGCAAGAGTTAAATATGACTTTAGATAGCGATTATTATAAGCAACAATATCGAAAATATCTCTGATTATATTTTGCGGAAGATATTTCATTGAATCAATCAACTCTGTCTTGATCTTTTTGTAAATCGAGTTTATTTCTTCTTCATTTTCTGCATTCAGCTGATACAAAGCATTAAAAGAATCAATGTAGTATTTATAGTTACTTCGCAATTCATCGTATTTCTTTGGATGAATATTTTGATCAGACATCAAAAAAAGAATTTGTCAAAAATTTTACATTCCAAGAATGAATACATCATGGGGACTGATTTAGATCATTGCGGAAAATATATAAATCTTGTATCATTCCCAATCAGATTAAGTCGATATCTTGGTCAATGAACTTGATCCTGAAAATGACAAACAAGCAACAGTTGTTCAAACTATTCTAAATAACCTCAGAATTGACAAAGATTAAATAAAGATTTTTCTTTTAATAGGTTCAAATAGATTGTTTACGTAGTATACTACATATGCATATACTGAATGTTCCTCAAGTAAAAGTCATCTTATTCATCTCTCAAAAAAGTTCTAGATGAGAAGTAGTCCGGCTCTTGGAAGCAATCAATGGTAGCGGACGTTTATGCAAATATACATGATATATCATAGATATTTTCCTAAATTAAGGGTGCACCCGTATGTACGTTTATTTGAGAGGAGGAGGATTACCCTCTCAATTTTGAGGGATTCGTTAGTTTATTTTCTCGATGAATATGCAATAAAATTTGATTTTTACCTTATCAATATACTTCATATAATATACACATGTTCATGTAAAAACTTTTTTCCAAAATCCTCAGGAATTAAGGGATTTTTGAATTTTAAGAATTTTTTTCGAATTTTTTCGAAAAAAAAATATTTTGAGAACAGCCTTAACGGCTAAGATTTAGGAACAATGTTAAGTATCAAAAAGAAAGGAGGTCTGATATAGACAACATATATCGTTGAAGGTTGAAAAAATCTCTAATATTTGAGCCCAAAATTTCAAATTTTAATTTTTTGAAAAAAGAGGCCACCCGTATGTACGTTTATTTGAGAGGATTATATTTTTGAAAGGGTGAAACATTATGAATATGTTAATTATATAATAATATGTATTATTATAAAAAAGAAAAAATAAAGCACTTTAATTTTTTTCTTTCTTGATTTTTTACAAAATCTACTTAGAATTATGCAAAATATGACTAAATAATTATAAATTTCAAGTTAAATTTTAATTTTGATAAATAATTTAAATTTCAAAATATCAAGTTCAGTTCGACTATGTATGTAGTAATTCCTCAATAAAGTGCCAAAACCCTATTAAAATATATGAACATTTTCAACATTTTAATGTTTTTATTTAAAAATTTGTTGGAATATGAGCTTCAAACAATTATTATGTAAATAAAAATAATTAAATATATGTATTTATTCGTATTACAACCGTAGTAAGTCGATTCTTCCTTTCTTCTACTGAGTTTTGAATTTGATTTCGAATTGTAAAGAGATTCAAAGGGAAAATACTAGCGGATAAAAACTACCTCCATGAAAGGGTCATAATGGACTCAAGTTGTATTTTTTGATATTTTTTGCTTTTCGAGCCTAAATAGGTAGCCAAGATAATGCCTAAAAATAAGGTTCTAAATTCTGAAGTTTACATGATCCTCTCGTGTGCACCCTTAAGATCACATAAAGTGAGTTTAGAGAAGTTTATCGAGTTCACATACATCAAGAACTTAATTGGATTTTCCAAAGATCAAGATCATACGGAAAATTATATTCCCATTCGAAATTCCAAGAAAATCGGATCACAGCGTAACCTTTAGCTACCTTTAGCCGGACTTCTTCTTCTACTTGTCATTTTTTTTTTCAAAATAAGAAATGGCATATTTATCACCAACAATTCTTGTTGCAGGACTAGCGTATAAGACTACAAGTGAAACAATAGCATCATTCTTTGGAAAAATAGGACCAGTTGATGAAGTTTCGCTGATGCTAAATTCTTTGGGAAAATCTAAAGGATTTGCTTTTGTTACATTTACAAAACCACAAGATGCAGACTATGCAGTTTCAAATTTCAATGGTCAAATACTTGATGGACGCCGAATTCGCGTTGAAATTTCATCAAGACGTAAGAAATTTAAACTAGAACGGAAATTCGAGATGGATGAATATCACCAGAATGAAAGACGTTTAGAAGGATCCAGAGATCGATCAAGTGATCGAAATACAGATGATTCACGCGCAGAAAGAGATGAATTCCGTAAAAAGAATAAAAAGGATGAAAAATATGACAAAAAGCATGATAAAAAACATGATAAGAAATCCGCTAATGCAAAAAGCAGCTCAAAAAAGAAAAACCGAGATTATTCTGATTCTTCAGACTACTATTACTCTGATTACTACTCTGATTATTCTTATTCAGATTATTACTACTCAGATTCTGGATATTCAAGCTATTATTCTAGTTATTCAGATTATTCTTCATAATATTCATTTTTCAAAGAGTTTGTCATTCACATTCTAATCACTTGTTGCATAATAATCAATATAGAATGCTGTATATCTTTTTAATTTTTGAATTTAATTTGTTTCTTAAAAATAAAGATTTCTTTTGGAGAATTAATGACTTAGATCTCCAAAATTCAAAAATTTACCTTCTTTAATTTTACAAAATGTGAATTTACAGTTGAAATTTTGAACATAACATAGTTTTCTTTCAATATCATTAGATATCATGAATATTTTTGTGAAGTACATGTAAACTAGTATTTTTATAGTCTTGTGTGTCTTAATAGTAGTGAAAAATATCAATGGAGATTTAAATGAGTTGATTATTGATTATTCTCACAATACTGGTGCACCATATTGAAAACTTCAAAATACAAAATGGATTTCTACATGAAATTATATTACAAATAGTTGTATTGATAAGATATAATTTCGAATTGTGCCAAAAATATATATTTATGATTTCATCAATATAAAAACTGAGTAACATTATCTAGTAGATTTAGGGCTGTACAAGATTTAAAAAAACATTGCCGGGTTACCGTAGAGACCTAAAAAAATCGCGCCTCGGCGGCAAGCCGCCTCGGCATTAAGAATGCGCATCTAAATTTTTATATGTCCTTCTTTCTTTTATTTTTCCCTTCCCTTTCTTTTCTTTTTCTTTTTTTCCCTCCTCTTGCTCTCATTTACCTTTTTTTCCTTTTCTCATCATTTTTCAAAATTTAAAATTTTTATCAAAAATCTTGCCTATAAAAGCAGACTATGGAACCTTTTAATGCCTCTTAATCAATATTATACAGCATAAAGCATATTAAATGAAAGTAATTACGTATAAATTTATTTTATTATCTTATTTATTAATTCTTTAGCATGTATTGTTTAATATTAACTTTTCTGTACATTAAATATGATATCTCCAAAGTATGAATGCCTTGTAACGAAACGAAAACTTAATTTTATGTTGAATATTTGTCACAAACATTAGATTATTAAAATATATGTTGGATATCCCTTAGTATGAGACTTCATGACTCTTGTTGTCTAACGTGAGCTTTGGATTGCAAGCTCTGTGGTTAACGAACATAAATTAATTGTAAAGTTTTCAAAAATTTTCATCGTTTCTATCAGCATCTATTTTTCCTTTAAAATAATATATTTGTATGAATACAATATTTAGTAATTTTTTTATTTCCCATAATTTCATTCAAAATTTCAGAAAAAATTAATTTCTATTCAATATTATTTCAGCTTCAAAACACTTCATTCTTATAGATGTTGATTCACTAAAGTGTGATTCTATTTATATGAGGTAGGGGCATGAGGCTCGGCAAGTCTTATTGCTTTTTACCTCAATTTAGGTATTAAATAATTATAATGATTCATAGTGGCCGCTGCTGACTGGCCATCAGCAGTCCCCTGGCCAAGATTAATATAATTATTTAATACTTATCCAGTTTTACATCAATAACAACAAAGCTAATCAATCATCATTCAGAAATGCGGGAAATTACTACTAATATTAAAGATTGATAGACATTAGGCTGGCCACCTTCTGTCTAATATCTTTACGAATAAAAATAATACTTTTTAAAACAAATTATTTAATAAATTTTATTAAAAAACAAAATCAAATATCAAATTGATCATCATTCAACTTGATGAAGAAGCGGCATGCTACATATTCTTCTTTGCATGATTCGTTCATTGAATTTCTTGTCTTTCGCAATTCAGATATTACACGTTCTACATCTGCTTCACTGCACGAAAGTGACATCATCCTTTTTCCAATTGGTCTTATTGCTTTTAGTTGCTTTATGCCATTCATGTACCAAAACTTGCCATCATTTTGAGCAAGATGATGACCATTTATAAGATGGGAATCATCTTGCTCTATGAAGAAATCGTAAGCATCACTCAATTCCTTGGCTCTATCGTCTTTATTGATCGTTGGATCAACTGTTGATTCGGCAATTGCTCTTTGTCTGAGGATTGTTATCATGAATGTGTATAGATCTTTTATCTCTTCATCTACAACATCCCAGACCAAGGAATTCCTCGAACCATCGGCATTTGTTTCGGCTGCATGATCGTCGTTAAGCATTTGTTCCTCTTCTGCTTGCTGGATCTCTTCATCATGCTCGGCTACCTCGTCAACACGTTCTGTTCGTTCTTCTTCAAGGATTTCGCCGAGTTTCTCAAATGTGATCTCGCGATTGATGATCCTCAGGGAAGGAATCGTTGGGACTTGCACATCTTTCAACTGCATTATAGGTGGATAGCTTGTCTTTCCTCCAAAACCCTTCTTGTCTCTGATGATCTTCCTTGCTAACGGTGTAAAGCCGAAAGCAAACCGAAGCAAATCAATTCTACCATATTCTTTCATATCATTTTTGAATATTGTAGTGATTGATCGGAGAATCTCTTCACCATCTGGCGTTAATCTTCCTGCCATTTCATCCAACATCCCTTGGCACTGTTGTATCATCAGGAATGCATAAGCACCCATGGACTTGTTGGATTCCAGCCATAATTGAAGTTGCTTTAATGGCTTGAATATCATTAAAGCATCTTTAAAGAGTGGAGGAATTCCATCACGTGTCCATTGTAACTGTTCACGTGTAGCTCTGGAAAGGGATAGTGGAAGATCTCCACTTCTTAAAGCAGTATTAATTGTTTCCAGATTATCAAAGATGAAAAACAGAGTATCATATATGTAGAGCCAGCGAGTTTCCGGGATTGATGGAACCCTGATCTTGTATCTCGCTCTCATATCGTGATTCTTAAAGATAATGATAATCTGGTGAACTCTATTCATCAGTTCATTCAACAATGGACATTGCTTACGTGCGTGGACAATAGCATTGTTCAAGACGTGGTTAAGGCAACGAATGTACACGGTTTGTAAGCCAGGGAAAAGGGCTCCTTCTGGCCTCCAGTGGCAGAGTCCTTTAACCTGGGCTGGCAAACCATCTCCGACTACTCCAGCTACGTGGTTTTTATTAACCTTAAGAGAATCAAACCACGTATGGTAGTCCTCGTATGTCCAATTAGTCGAAATTGTTGTGTCGAAGAATTGGTGGCGATCTGTTTTGCCTGGATTGCACACACAAGAGAATAGACCATGACGGCTGCCGTGTGTTCCGCAGTCCAGGGAAATTGAGAAGATGCGGAATTCCTCGCAGAACTTTAGGCCCCGAGAGGAGTCTGTTTTGCCTAAAGTAATCAATGCCTCTCTGACACCGCGCCGTGTGAACTCAATGTCTGGGATTGTAAAGTTGATGCCCTGTTCGCGATTGACTTTATTTTTAAGCCATTTGGCGAAGCTCTCTAGGAAGCTTTTAAATGCTGGCTTCATTGTGGCATAAAGGCTTATATCTAGGCTCGCAATAAGCCTGGCAATGATCTCTTCTAACGAAGGATCATTACCAGAGCCAACTGCTTGCTGAGTATTCTCAACTTGGTGCTCAGCAGGAACGTAGTTGGGCATTGGGAGTAAAAATTTGCACTTATGATCTTTAAAATCATTTTTCCTGCTTTTTTTAATGCATCGCACGAACTGCCCTTGAACTAATGTTTCACTACATTCGGCACAGTATGTAAAGAGCCTTCCTTTGTCTGATTGATTAGGCTCATTCTCATAATAGCCGATCGTAGTGAAACATTTTTTCCACACTTTGTTTCCAATGTTTCAGGAGTTGGTGGATATTTCGTCTTCTTAAATGGAATCCACTCATCATATACATGAGGATCCCATGCAGTCATAATAAAAATAAAGCTTTTTGAATATATTCAATTTTTAAATGATATTTTCACGGGTTAAATATAAAATAAAGAATAAGATGTAAATTATTAAAATATTTAATTTTAAATTTTGAACCCGTGATAAATATTTTTTTGCATTGTTATTAATAATGAAAAATAAAGCTTATTTCAATGAAAATTGTTCTGCAAATTTATTTCACTTTTGACCTCACTTTTTCCGTAATTCAATTTTTTACTTTTAATATTTTAGATCTTCATAATATCATTTGAAAAATTAACCATATAAAAAAATCAAGTTATCAATTCACTTTTTCCGTAATTCAAAAATCAAAAATATAAATAATATATCTTTTTATCAAATATTATTATTATATTCTATGAAAAATGAGGTCCGGAAATTTTGCGGATTCCCGTAACTCAATTTTACGGAAAAAGTGCAGTAAACTATTCAAAATACGGAAAAATTGGTGTAAACTAATGATTTTACGGTAAAATCACGGAAAGTCCCGGAAGAATATATGTGCCTATATGAAATTATACAAAAATGAATCAAACGCATTTTAAAAGATTGTTCTTGTATTATAAATGCTATTCGCAGATTTATTAGTTGAAGAAAATTACCAAATTTTTGCCGATTTACAAAAAATGATTTACAAAGCATATTTTTATAAGGCTTAAAAAATCTTTAAAATGTCACCGGTGACGGAAATCCATGGTAACCAACCGCGGTTCCCGTTTGGAATGCCATAAGTAGATTATGTCAATACCTCTATTTTGTTTCAAAACTTTAAATATAGATCCAAGGTGATGTGATTTTTGCATCCCTGGGATGGACGATACACCCAAAGTGTCACCTTTTTTGGGATAACATGAATTTTAAATATCATGAGAGTTCTGCAAACCATATGCACAATATCTATTCAGCCTGACTTCTTGTATATATGAGTTAGACTTCTTAAATATTGTGCTTGGGGCGATATAAGTATTTCCGAGATTACCATCGTGCTCTATAGTATGCTACTTCTCCCTGGTTCTAGCTCAGTTCCAAGGATATTGGCGTTCAAGGATTTGGCAAGGTCCTTCCGAAGTCTCTCATTCGATGAGAGATTTCGGAAGAATCTTGCCTTAAAGTACTCCAACTCTTGTTCTTTTGTTCCTAAATAGTGAGAAAAGTTATTTGACTACTTAAGGTAGAGATTATCCGAGGTCCCTCATTTGATGAGAGGCCTCGGATAATCTCTGCTTTAAAATTGTACACTTGTAGTCCATGAGAGTGTAAGTATACATTGATAGGACAGCTTTCTTCTGAAGTCTTAGATTTGATGAGAACCTCAGAAGAAAACTGTCATATTTTATAGTAAAAGGAGTTTCAGGAGCTCCAAAGCTCCCTTTCGTAAGGATTAGGAGCTTTGGAGCTCCTGGTTCGTAGATGTGTTTCGCATCTTTCATCAGCAAAGGACATTTACCATCTGGGACTCTGTTGATGGAGACTCAGGAGCTCCAAAGCTCCCTTTAGTAAGGATTAGAAGCTTTGAAGCTCCTGGTTCGTAGACGTGTTTCGCATCTTTCATCAGAAGAGGCCCAAATGGTAAATAGCCTCTGCTGATGAGCTTCAGGAGCTCCAAGACTCCCTCTCGTAACGATTAGGAGCTTTGTAGCTCCTGAAGGTAAGGTAGGATTGCTCTGATCTCTAATCAGTAGATGCCATGCCTCATTATGAACTCTACTGACAAGAGATCAAGAGCTCCAAGGACTCCTTTTTTAGTTAGTGGCGTTCTCACCATTTAGTAGGATTGCTGATCCTACTAATGAAGTGATCACTTAGTATACGTTTTGAATAAATTGAATTTTTTTTAGAATTTAGTATTTTTTATAGACATCACATGTATATTATAAATACATAAATATATTCTTTAATTAAAAAATTCAATTCGGTTTTGGATGGGCATCCCAGCCCCAAGTATTCAATTTTATTCAATTTTTAAAGAATTTTGGGTTGGGATGCCAGACCAAAACAAGCTTTATATTTTGATGTGTAGATACGTATGTGTGATCATTGTTGTGTTTATATTATGTTTTTAATGAAAAAATCTGATTCAAAAAAAATTATATAATTAGTTGATAATATATAAAAAAAAATAGATAAATTGTATGTTTGGAGAGTATTTATCCACATTCACTCATATGAATTTCATTAAATAGTATTTTTTACTCCCCAAATTTATTTTGAATTATTGAAATCAAAGAAAAAAAATCAAAAAATTTCTCGAAATTTTTATTTTCAAAAAAATTGGATTTTATATTGAAAACTGACATGGGAGGACGATAGGGCTGGGATTGGAGATACCCCGCTCACTTGGGAAAAATACGGATCTATACTTTAAAAGAGATTCACAAAAAAAAATAGAAAAATAAAAATATAAACGAAAAATATCATTTTAACCAATGAAATATGAAAATGAAAAAATTTAGAATTATAAAGATATTTTATAATTGATTTAAATGAGAATTTTTGCATTCTGGTATAAAAAAACAAGAGGAAAAATTGATAAATACATATAAATTTATCAAAATCATGATTTTGAAGGCATGCTGAATAAAATTTCGATTTTTCCTGTATCATCTTTTACAATTAGTAGTTTTTGCAAATTTACTAACTAGATTTTGTTTGCTTGATGTTCAGAAGTAAAGATCAGAGAAATTTTGCCAATATCATGGAGATAAGTTCTGTAAAGATCGTCAATTGCAAACCGAAAAGAGTAAATAACGTTTCTTTTTTGTCAATTTAGCTATACGAGATCCATTCAGAGATATACTTTAATAATTTGACTTGAAAGTTATCGGATATGAGACAAATCAACATAGTGATTGCATATGATATGATTAGATCTTAAATTTTCAAGAGATTTTTTTTTCAAAAACAAAATGATTTATATATATAAATAAAAAACGTATACCCAGGGAGCTTTATACATCGAACCTTTATCAATAAATTTTTAATATATATATAGAAAGATTTAACGACGATCGTTAAAGCGTTGCCTCTTTGGATTCTGGCGTCCAACACCACGGAATTTGTGTTCATCACGTACCTGGTTACCAGAAGCACCTCTACCAAATTCACGGCCAACTTCGTATCCGCGATCAAGGTCGCAACGAACAATTTCTCCATCTATTTTGATTTTGATTGATTTACCAAGAGTTGCGAGAGCTGATGCTCTATCGAAAAATTCTACAAAGCAGAAACCACAAGGAGTTAATGTAAGTTTATTAACGCCTCTGATGATACGCTTAATTGGACCAAATTGGGAGAAAACTGAATAGATTGCAGCTTCTGTTGTGCTAAAATTAAGATTTCCAACGTAGATTGTTGAAGAACGGGACATTAAGATCTTTAATTGCATGTCATCAATGCCAGATTTATGGTCAACATATTCGGAATGTCTGACTTTACCAAATTCACTAAGAGCAATAAGAGACGCCATTTCTAACCTTGTCACTTTTTACCAACAATTATATCGGCGTGAAGCATTCAAAGTATTGATTAATTTTGGGCGTAAGGACTTGCTCCAAGTCCAGCGACTTATGTTTATTTTACATTTGGGTATCAGAAATGTGAACCATTAGGAAATGGGAAAACTGCTAGCCAAAAGGACTGATTGATAGAGCTTGAGACAAAAATGGTATTAGATTGAATTCCTTATATACAAGCACAAACAAATCTATCATAGTATCTATAATCCCTCACTTTGTTATAGAATTTCTTTGGTTCGAGATATTTAATTCGTCATTTGCAGTTTAAGCAGTTGAAATTTGAGATTTTATCTCAATACAACTATTATAGCAATTATATTGTATATATGCATTTAGTATTGATGCGCAATCATTCAAATTTAATTTTCAGCTCTCTTGAATTAGTTCCATAAGATTTATCTATATTTCTTTTCGTCATTATGGAGACAAGAAAATGAATCAGTCCTTGATATTCGTTTAAGGAGTATTTTTAATCATACTCTCTCTTCAACTGTTTTTCCCTGTTACCTCCCGCAGGAACAATGGAAAAAATAAAATTTCATCATCAAAGAAAGGTACTATACAATGATCATAAATTTCAAAATTACTATCTATTTCTATCATAACTTGCTTAAAAGATTCTCTACAAGATTTCATAAGCAACACTTTCATCCTTTTTCCAATTTAAGGAAATGAATTAAATTTAATAAATCGCACTTTAGTGAATATCTAGGTGTTTCTAAGAAAAAATAAATTATAGATTAATTAAAATCAAATAAAGAAGAGTTGTTTTAGTTGAAAGCATGGCCAGCGCAGCCAAGGACTTCCTTGTTCTTGCGCATGTACATTTCTGTAAGCTTTGTACGAGCTTCACCGAGGTACTGGCGTGGGTCGAACCAGTCTGGGTGCTCAACGAAGAGGCGGCGGATTGTGCCTGTCATGACCATACGGCCATCAGAGTCGATGTTGATCTTGCAGACAGCAGACTTGGAAGCCTCACGGAGCTGGTGCTCTGGGATGCCGACGGCTTCTGGCATGTGGCCACCGTACTTGTTGACCATTTCGACGTACTCCTGTGGGATGGAGGATGAGCCGTGGAGAACGATTGGGAAGCCTGGGAGCTTCTTCTCGATCTCGTGGAGGATGTCGAGGCGGATTTCAGCCTTTGTGCCCGGTGGGAACTTGTAAGCACCATGGGATGTGCCGATAGCGATAGCGAGTGAGTCAACACCTGTCTTGGAAACGAAGTCCTGAACTTCTTCTGGGCGTGTGTATGTGTGCTTTTCAGCCTTGACATCATCTTCAACACCAGCAAGAACGCCGAGTTCGCCTTCGACTGTAACGTAGTCTGGGCGGGAGTGAGCGTACTCGACAACCTTCTTTGTAAGAGCAACGTTCTCGTCGTATGGGAGGTGGGAGCCATCGATCATGACGGATGAGAAGCCAAGATCAATGCAATTCTTGCAGAGTTCGAAGGAGTCACCGTGATCGAGGTGGAGAACGATTGGGATGAGCTTGTGCTCTGGATGGATCTCCTTAGCGAATTCGGCAGCACCCTGGGCCATGTAGCGGAGCATTGTCTGGTTAGCGTACTTGCGGGCACCAGCAGAAACCTGAAGGATAACTGGGGATTCTGTCTTGACGGAGGCTGTGATGATAGCCTGGAGTTGTTCAAGGTTGGAGAAGTTGTATCCGGGGATAGCATAGCCGCCATTGACAGCCTTGGCGAAGATGTCCTTAGAGTTGCAGAGACCGAGTGACTTGTAGGAGATAGCCATTCTGAAAGTGATGCAATAATAACCGCATTTTTTACTTCACAAATCAATTGAAAAATTTGAATACTAAGAGGTCGAACACTTCCACAATTTTTCAATGTGTATAAATTTAGAACAACTGATGCTAAGATTTGTAGATATTTTGTTTGGAACTTTATCTTATGTTGCAAAATTTACATGAACTTATCGGCATTGAAAAAATTGAGAGGTGTTTGTTCAATGAGGTGATGGGTGAATTTTTAAATAAACTAATACTGGAATGATGGCGTACATAATAATTTATAATGATTTAATTTTGGATAAATGGTCCATATTTCTTAATTTATCATATCTAATTTATTCCTTAAAAAACAAAAATCCAATACATACAGCTCAAGCAAGCTAAAAATTCAACGTTCTTTTTGGAGAATTTTTAATTTTAAAATTCACAAGTCGAAAATGTAGCTTTAATTCTGAAAATAATGCACATTCTAAAGTTGTATTGATTTTTGAATCCGGAATATTAGACATATAACCAAACATTCATTGAAACCGTATTCAACAAAGCATGACTATCGTTATTTGCTTAAATAATTTACAGCATCACACATAACGGCACTTGCCCAAGAAATAATTTTCCTCAAGAAATTCAATTTTTGTGAATAAGAATTCTCATTCAAATTTATATTCTGTGAATTAGGCAGATAATTGATATTCAAAATCACTAAGTCAAACTCATTAAATTATTAGGCTGAGGTGAATGTTCTCTTAATATTTTTTTTAAAATATGAAGCAAATTTCTTCAACATTTTTTTATTGATTAACATACATGCGACTCTAGTGTTGTAGATAACTAGAAATATGTTCTTATGAAATGTTTACTTTTAATATATGAATGCTTTACTTTGGATAAATGGTTTACTTTTAATATATGAATGCTATTTTAACATTAAATAGTAATAAGTAAAACTATTTTATTAAATTTTGCTGTTGTTCTTGAGATAAGTTGATCTAGATGAGAAAGCTCAAGAATTATTTAACAATTTCGTTATCGATTGAAACACTACTTTACTTCTTTGGATATGTTTATGTCCGACAATGGAGTATTAAGCATCATATGTATCTTTTTCTTCAAAGATTCCAAGATTGCCTCTTTTATGAACTATTTTTATCAATATTACTACTTTCTTTAGTCTATTATGATACTAAATACACTAAAAGGATGAAATTTGTTGAAGGTTACATTATTTCTTTCCTTTTGTTCCCTGTAAATGCATATTACACAGTAGAATTCGGATTTTTGTATCAATCTTACCTTCAAAATCAGATTAATGTCTGGAAGAAGTACTTAAATTATCCAATTCTCAAAGATTTGCAAGCTGAATTAAATTGCTGCGGATTCAACAAGCCCTACGATATCAGAAGTACAGTATGCCAAGACAGCTTCAATGGAGGCTGCTACGCCAAAATTCTTGAAAAATTTGGCAAAAACATCTTTCATTTTTCACTCTTAACAGTATTCTTGATTGCTCTTAATATCACACATATCTATTTCGGTTTCAGATTAACTTATAGAAGAAATCCTAAATAATCTCGTTTTTTTTTTACAAATGTTACAGAAAGATTTGCTACATGTTATATTGTTTGTGCCAACCCAATTGCGAAGGATTCAAGATTTTTGTAAAATTCACAAAATTCTAAATTGATCTCTAAATTGTATTCATTCATAAAAAATGTAACAAAATCAATGTTGTGTGAAATAATTGCATATCTCATGCATTGACCATAGGGTTCTTTATATTTCAAACATTCACTCATGATCTCTGGATTTCGGCCTAAAAATGATAATTCTAAACATTCTTGAGTGATTTCTGAATCTAATTTCGTTCTTAAGAACTTGAAACAATCAACTGCTCCATGGTAACAACATAATTCAAGTAATGAATATACATATTGAGATTGTGGATATAAACTGCTTTTCAGATTTTGATCGTTATCAAATCCTTCTCTTTCAGTGAATGAGATGAATCTTTCTTTGTCATTATTCATAATCGCTCTGTAAATTGTATCTTTTTGAATTTTTTGAAATGGACACTTTTTTTTTCGATGAGTCAAGGTTTGACTGTTAATTTCGATTATATTGCCAACAACATTCAAACATATATTGGACAAGACAATTTCTATGATATTGTAGATAAAGATGACATTCCAAAAGTATGAGAAAAAGCCAATCTTAAATCTAACGATTTCATCACTCTTCTTTCTCAAGGCAAATCAAAGTATAGTACACCTAAACTATTTTGGTTTATTCGAAAGTGCAATGTTTTCATTGATTCATTCGAAGACGCGATTAACGTTCTTAATTGCTACAAAAAGAACCTGAAACTCAAATCTTCTCGTTCATTAATTGACTACCTTATGAAATACAACGCAAAAATTAATTCAGATTCAGAAGAAGTCACACAATTAAAATCTGAAATTCAAAATCTCAAATCACAGATCTCTACGATGGAAAATGAAATCAACCAATACAAAAACGAAGGACAGCAACACAAAGACGAAATATCTAATCTTAATAACAAATTTAATCAAACTCAATCAGAAAATACAAGATTTAAAGACAAAATATCTAATCTCAATAACAAATTTAATCAAATTCAATCAGAAAATACAAGATTTAAAGACAAAATATCTAATCTCAATAACAAATTTAATCAAACTCAATCAGAAAATACAAGATTTAAAGACAAAATATCTTCTCTCAATAATAAAAACAGTTAATTAAATCAATCTATAAATGAATTTACAAAAATTTCTGATTTGCGAAATTCAAAAGATTTTAATTCAGTTTACAATTTCCTTAAAGAACTTTCAGATAAAGATGATAAATTGAAGATGCTTGTTTCATGCGCAGTTGGATTAAGTGAAAAGAGGGACTCTAATGAAAATACTCCAATTATATGGGCATGTATTAATGGAAATCTTCAATTTACAAAATCTTTTATTGAAGGAGGTTGTGATAGAAATGCAGTTAATAAATTCGGACACAATTGTTTACTTGAAGCATCATTAAATGGACATCTTGAAATTATAAAATATTTAATTGGAGTTGGGTTTGATAAAAACTGGCGAGATAAAGATGGATTTAATCCAATTCTTTGTGCAGCACAAGAAGGTCATCTTGAAATAGTTAAATATCTTATCTCAGTTGGAGCAAATCCGGATGAGAAAAATAATGATGGATGGTCTCCATTAATTATTGCATCATCAAATGGTCGTCTTGAAGTAGTTAAATATTTGATTCAAAAAGGTTGTAATAAAAATGATTAAACAAATTATAATGCTTCTTCACTTCATTGGACAGCATTATTTCAATCCGTGTCAATTTTAGTGTCAAAAACAATGGAGGAAGAACTGCACTTGATTATGCGAAAGAAAAACAAAATGAGAATGAAAACTATAAGAAGATTATGAATCTTCTTTATTAGATCAGGTGCAAAATAATATATATTTTTTTTTTCAACATGAATATAATTTAAACAGAATTGATATGTTGATTGAGTAGTATATATATATGTAACTTTGTATTTTATAAGCAACATTTATTTTTTCTTATGATGTTTAGAAAATATCTTATGCATTAGGGCTGCACTTACCACTTTCTGACATTCTTTCAATTTTTTTGACACCAGAGTTTTATACCCCAATATGCTATGATAAAAAGCTAATATTTTCCCTCTGGAAATAGTTATTATAAATCGCTACATAGTACTTCATATGACTTTTATACCTTTTTGTTATTAAAATAAAGATATGTTGATGTTATGATAGCATGTCGAATATATATCAATGAAATCAGTTCGACTTTTGGATTTACATTCAAAACCAGTTTTTCTGTCTTCACCATTCACTCAAAAAAATTTGGTATCAAAGTAAAAAGTTTAAGAGATTGATATTATGATGTTTTGAAAGTACTTCCGACATATCATAACCAAGTATTCCAATTGAGTTAATTTAGAATATAAAAAAGAAAAATAATTTTATGATTTCAAAATTTCATTAATCAAGCATTATAATATGATAATTTTGCATCACTCATTACAGCTAATTCATGTATCCACTAGGTTCCTCTCTGATTTATGATTTAATTTTAATTTAAATTGCGAACTTGTCATAAATTAAATTTCAATTCTTCTTCACAAAAATATTTTACTTCGATATATCCCAGAAAGTAACTAAATGGATGATACAAATGGAAAACCAACAAAAATTATAATTATCATATTTACAGAGTATTTTTGGCATAAGATCGAAGTGAAATTTGATTTCTTCAAACTAAAATTATGTTTATATGATAAATAATCAAAGTTTTTAAACTATATGCAGTAAAAGAAGGAGATTCCAAAATCGAATTAAGCTTTATTGCATCTTCGAAATCAACTTTCTGAGAACTTTACAAAAGAAATTTAATTAAAATAAATTAACTAGAATGCGTATTTATGCTAATACCAAACGATCATGAAAATTCAAATACATTGAAACCGAAAAAAAAACTTCTGGAATTGAATACAAACTTAGTTTAAAGAAAATTGGATTTATCATGGTGCATTTCATTTGCATAATAATTGATGAGTTAAATGCTCACAAAAACGATTATTCAAATATTTTTAAGTTTTGAATTCCTTTCTCAAAAGTGTTATTTAAATGACTTCGTCGTCAACTTTACTTCTGAGAACAATGGATCGGATCGATGGTATTCGTGTCATAGTCGTTGACCCAAACAGTTCTATTTCATGCCTAAAAAAAGATTACTCATGCAATTGTCTATTTCTTTATAAAAATATAATCCTCGTCGACACACTTCCTTTTAGTTATTATTCGATGTCCGATGGCGATTTTATTAGAACAATAAGATCTACAGATGTTGAAGAATCGCAACAAGATCAATCCGAGAAATATGAAAACGAAATTGAACTTGAAAAGCTAAAATTACTAGAAAAGAAGTTCAATAGAATCATTTCAAGCTCAAGTATGTATCAAAAATATGAAAACTTGAAGCAAAAAATAATACAGGACAACGAAGAATATGAATTTGAATCATATCACCGCACTCGTTGTCCAAGATATAAACCAACGATGCCTTCAACTAATCCATTACCAAAATTTTGGTAATCGTATATTTTGTTTTTTGTTAATATTTAATTTAAACATGCATTAGTTAGTGAATATTACGGAGGGGTGCCAACTCGGGAAGATCATATATCTCTGTCGATTTATGAATATTCAAGTTATGAATGCGGAAGATGGTGCCATTCTGGGAGACATGCAGAGGCAATATCTTCAGGAATGACACATGCAGACCAACAAGAGTGCATAACACACTCTTGTCGGTCAAAGATCAGCAATCGTATTCTGATTGCAAAAGATTGTGCCATTCTATGAGACATGCCGAGGCAATGTCTCCCGGAATGACAAATTGGAAATGTTTTTCATTTATTCAAAATAGAATCAGACTTACCAACAAAAGATGTTTAGGGTTTGACTTACAAGGCTTAATTTATCAATGGTTTACTTCAGTAAAGTTACCGCAAGAATTTGATAAATACGTCAAATGCTATTTCAGGCAGTTTTACGTAAATATATATTTTTGCCCTTCAAACCAAGTAATATTTACGTAAAACTCGATAATACAATTAAGTATCGACATAATGTATATGATTTTCCCTTGATTCTATCTAGACTGTTACTATTCTCCCAATGGTGATTCTTTTAAAAACAATTTTGGTCGAAAATGATGTTCACAATCTTTTGCTTCTATTACATAATTAGCATTAATGAGGTCTAGTATCACATGTGTTACCTGTAAAAAGCATAGCTTTGGTTATTGTTAAAAATTATTCTTCTTCTTGTACTTTTCTTTTTGCTAGTTTCGGGGGACGCTTTAGTTGCTTTTCAGAATCTATCTTTTCCTTAAATTCTATGACACGCTCATCAAAAGACTGATCTGCAACAACAATTGCTGTTTTCTTAATAGTACCAAAGAATATTTCAAGATCCGAAGCCCTATGAAATCCAGTGTTTTTAGGTAATATTGGACATTCGTGTTTCATTGCTTGAAGAGTTTGTTCCATTTTATATCTTCTTAAATATGCAACAACAAAGCATAAACAGCGGCTCCAAGCTGCAGAATCCATAGGTTTAACGTGAGGTTGAATTGATATTAAATTCGGATTGCTTGAGTTAATAACGATTTTAGAAATATCTTTGACAAACTGAGCACGTAGATGATTTGCTGCTCCTCGTTTTTCAAATATTTCATGCGAACTTTCATTGAGTTGTTGTTGAAATCCACTATCATCTAATGTATTTGTTGCTGACATCCTTTTTTTTTTGTAAACAGTCAAATTGATTTTTTTGACAATGTAAACTAAAGATTATATTTTCTCCAAGAGAAACTGGGCGAAATGCTTTTAGACCAGAAGTTTGTAAAGGTGAATGTTTCAAAGGATTTAAGCATGTGCAACTTTCCACATTTCTTTCTACTGATTTTTCTCCAATCAATAGAAAAAAAAAATTGTGGCAAACAGCACCTGACAATAGAAATATCGGGGCTCTAAAACTTGCAATCATTTAGAAAGGGAGTTTTGGAGTTCATGATGTGAATATTATTGGCTTCGCATACTTTCATCAGCAGAAGTTTCTGCTGACAAGGATTCAAGATCTCCACATCTCTATTTCTTATGATTGGGAGTTTTAGAGCCCCTGAAGAGGCAGAATGACTCCAAATATCTTAAAATCTAAAATATGGTATGAGACTCTAATGATAATCATCCAGGAGTCAGGCAGATCCAGTTAGTAGGATTGGGAGCTTAGGCTTACAAAAGTGGCGTCGGATTTTGATTCAGCTTCGTTATTTACTTGCCAGAAGATGGTTTATAAGTTTATAACAGATGTGCATAGTGAGGACAATGTTAGTGGTGAATAGAAATCAATAAGAAAACCTTTATGAAATTGATCGCTATCTTTCGTTACATATTGAAAAATCTGATGAATAAAAATCATAATTGGAAGAATACCAAGCATTTGTTTAAGGATGTCAATTTGGAAGAAAAGTGAGAAAATTACTAAAATGCTAAAAATGAATTTTCCAAACATACTTTTTTATCTCATTTTTTTGATTTTGAAAAAAATTTGGAGAGAAGAACTCTTCGTTTTTGAATTTTATCACGATGGTTTTAAAGTATATTAGACACATGTATTGGTATTACTATTTTTGTATATTTTGAGAGAAAATCCCTAAAAAGTGAGAAAATCTAAGACGGTTTGAGAAAATATATAAACTATTGAAAATTTGAATTAAACTTCTAATTTGGAAAAAAGAAATTTGGAAAGAAGAAAATTCAAAAATCGAGATTTAGACTCAGCATCTGTAATAAACAGAAATTCATCAAAAGTGACAGCTCTCAATTTTTTGACATTTGTAAATTCTAAATTGAATGAGAAAAATGAAATAATACTAAGCATAATACAATATTCTAGATTTAATTATAATTAGGAAAAAGTTAGTTTTGAGAGTACTTTTCATAGGCATATAGAATGAAATCTTCTGAAAAATAATATCACATAAACTCATATTATTTTCTAATATATAACTATTTTATATAAAAATCAAATTCAATGATCTTAAAAGCGAAGGATAAACCTCAAAATTTACGAATATAATGAGTGGGAATATAATGCTTATCTATCATAAAACCATATGAAATATCAATTTTTGCTTTACGCCTAATTTTTGACGACAATTAGCAAAAAATGTTAAATGTTAACACTCAGTCCATTTGAATATGAAAAATAAAATTGACTTTGATTAAATGTTTTTATTTATCATGCAATTCTTCTTGCGACCAAAGATTTGAATAAAAGTTCAAAAAATAAGATAGCTTAAAAAATAATATACGGTAGTGTTTACTAATAGATGAATAGTATATAAATTCTATTAAAATGGATTTGATCCAAAAAAATATAAAACCAAAAATAATTGTTATAATTTAAATGAAGAAGTAATTTAAAACGATTTTATTTATGATCAAATTTTATATATTTTTTTGGATCAAATCCATTTTAATAGAATTTATATACTATTCATCTATTAGTAAACACTACCGTATATTATTTTTAAGCTATCTTATTTTTTGAACTTTTATTCAAATCTTTGGTCGCAAGAAGAATTGCATGATAAATAAAAACATTTAATCAAAGTCAATTTTATTTTTCATATTCAAATGGACTGAGTGTTAACATTTAACATTTTTTGCTAATTGTCGTCAAAAATTAGGCGTAAAGCAAAAATTGATATTTCATATGGTTTTATGATAGATAAGCATTATATTCCCACTCATTATATTCGTAAATTTTGAGGTTTATCCTTCGCTTTTAAGATCATTGAATTTGATTTTTATATAAAATAGTTATATATTAGAAAATAATATGAGTTTATGTGATATTATTTTTCAGAAGATTTCATTCTATATGCCTATGAAAAGTACTCTCAAAACTAACTTTTTCCTAATTATAATTAAATCTAGAATATTGTATTATGCTTAGTATTATTTCATTTTTCTCATTCAATTTAGAATTTACAAATGTCAAAAAATTGAGAGCTGTCACTTTTGATGAATTTCTGTTTATTACAGAATCCACACTAGAATATATTTAAATCAACTTTTAAAAAAGTTCGAATCCTGCGCGTCTCACTTTTTAAATTTTCGAAAAGGAAAATTATATTCTCCTAAAATGAAAACAATTTTCCGAATTGACATTCTTAAATTTGTTTCAAAATTTGAAATTATGAAATTCTAAATAATTTTTCAGAAAAACATAAAAAATGACTCACCCCATTAAACTTGTTCCTGAGAGATATGAAAGTTCTGCAGAGCAACCCTCACAGAACCAAAATCTTGTTCCTAGAAAATGCTGGCTCAGAATCACTCAACTTTTGATGAAACCTAGCTTATTCGAGAAAAATCAGAAATTGAGGATAATAGTTCATGTTCCAAACTCAAATCGCGAAGTCAAGACAAAGAAAATCTCTCTGGATGAACACGCCATTCGATTTCTTCAATCACACCAAAATAACGCCGGTTTTTCACAAATTCCAATAGATGCCACAATTATTTATGAATACAAACATGATATACAAGTTGAGCATCCATCAATAATGATCATAGATGTTGAAATTATCTCTTCTATTTTAGGTCGTTCTAAACGAATCGGCCAACTATCAATAAACATGTCGGAAGTGATACAGAAAAGCATAAAGAATACATTTTCAATTGGCAAAGAAGGCAATGTCATAGCTCTTTTGACGGCAGAGATTTTCTCGATGTCAATTGCCCGTAAAACACCGGAAGGAATTGTCCATTCGTATTCTACATTATCAGATAGTGAATCAGAGATAGATCCTGAGTCCACACAAGGAAACGAATCCCTTCTTCCGAAAATGATTTCACAAAAAAGGGTTGTTTTTGCAGATGACAACTCTTTTGAAGGCCAAATCATCAAGCAATATCTATCAGTTACCGATTTCTATCTACCTATTCGTTCTCCAACTACAATTCAGAAATTTTTCAGTGTCGTATCACAAACTATGCCATCTGCTGATCCTATTGTAGTTATTCTTGCAGGAGATGACTTCTTCATATGCACCTTCTTAAAAGAAATCGCTGCTTGTAGAGATAGAGGCCTAATTAACATCGAATCTTTCCAAATCTTCGTTTTACCTCTAAAGCAACAGAACTCGACATTTTCCACCCTACTTTCAAGCAAATCCCAAAAATACGCCTCCAATTTTACTAATTCGAAGTGGTTTGATTTATTCTCCGCAGAATCAGCTTCTCCGATCCACGGACCACAAGTTGTCGATATAATTAACCAAGTGTTTGCTACAGAGCTGAAATCATTCGTTGTTCCCGTTGCAGATATCTTAATTACGACTGCATCAGACCAATACGTTGTTCCAATGTTCAGCAGCATAACAATTGGAGATCCAAACAACATCGACAGATCAAAGACGCCAGGGCCACCTAACAGTGCCAAATGCACGTTCACGAGTAACAAAGTTAGACATGACAGCATAAAATTCCACCAAATGAGTGTGAAAATGGACCACAACGGAATTATTGTTGTGAAATGGTTCATTTTGACTAACTCTATCATGTCTATACTTAACAGTAACGACAAAGTGCAGATTGAGAATGAAACTGAGAAATGCAACAAATTCTCAATGACAAACTCAAAGGGACAGCAACTGGACATTCTAATTGACGGTCAGAAGATAGGAGGAGTTATAGGTTTCAGTGTTACTTTGAGAGATCAATCTGCATCTGTTACTTTAGCAAGTTTCGCTGAATAATTTTTTTTTCTCTCGTTTTGTTTTTCTTTTTGTTTAAAATGTTAAAATTTTTTAGTTTTTAGTTTTCAATCTATTGTAATATTTGATGCTCTGTGTTAGACTATGATAATAGAGGCTCAATTATGATTAATTCTTTTTGTAAATCTTGTTTAATTCTTCTGCTTTTTCCGTTTTTAGATGATACAATGCATTATAGGAATTGATGTGGTATTTATATATACTTCGCAGTTCACTGAAGATAGGAGGAGTTATAGGTTTCAGTGTTACTTTGAGAGATCAATCTGCATCTGTTACTTTAGCAAGTTTCGCTGAATAATTTTTTTTTAACATTTTAATCAATTTTACAGAATTGTATTGATATACGATTCATTTTATGATATGAAACTGCTATGCTACTTGTACTGGATTGAATCATTGTGATATTTAAGAGATTTATCTGGATAATTGTTTACAACATAAAATTATAGCCATTGTTCACAAATTGGACTGAGCTTGACTTTAAAGGATACTTTATGACAATATTTCTTATGATTCACTATTAATTCCATAATCATATTATAAAAGAACAATCTAACGTTACTGATATCATTTTGAATCCCACTCAACATATTTTGTCGTTTTGATACTATATACACACATATAGTCCCGCGAAAAAGGTGTCGTTGTTGTGACAAAGCTGTCGAAGTATTAATATATCTAAGCATGTCGTTTGGGGGACAATTTTGGGTCCGACCAAATAATTTTCGAGTTTTAATATATAATGAAAGTATTATTTTGTAATTTCAGAAAAATCTAATTAAAATTTTTTTCAAAATATAGAATTTTATGAAACAAACAATATCTTATAGTGATGCTTATTAGTATCACAAATGAAAACAATCATAGTTTTAAGTTTTTGATTCTTTTTCCAGAGAAGCTTTCAATTGTTTAATTTTAGTTTGCATAATTTCATTATCGGCTTTAAGTCGTGCTTTTTCTGCTGCCAATTGCTTTTTAAGATTCATTTCAATCCCGTATTGAACAACTTTGTTTGATGACAGCTTTAAATCCATAATTGCTAGCTCGAGGTATTTGTCATTTGCTTTCGAATCAGGATTTGAATAATACATTTGGTGCTTTTCAGTTTGCAATTGATCCAATGCACGTTTTAAAACAGGATTTCCTATAGTATATTGATAATGCCTAAATTCATCACTATCAGCTGCTGCTGCAACACGGGTAGAAAAAGGTGCTCCGAATGCTTTTTGCAAATCTTGATTCATTAAGATTTTACATGTCAAAAAGTTTACAAAAATTTATTTTGACAAAGATCACTTTTTCAATTTCTAAATGAAATCAAGGAATTATGTTTTAAATTGTGCACACATTTCATAATATACAGAGATCATCCCAAATAATCTATTCAATTGGTCTGCCACTTTTTCTTTACAAAAAAGTTCAATGAATGAAAGGTTACAAGAAATTAATTTTCTAGTAGCTAAATATCTAATGAGTAACTTTCCTGATATAGGAAGCCAATTCATTTCGAAATGTGAAAAAAATGAACTTTTTCCAAATCGAATATTCGACACTAGTCAAAAGTTTGAAACTTTAAATACCTCCACACTATCAGACATCTCAAATGATCATCTAATCAAATTGATTGAGCTTTCGATGCCTTCTTCTGAAAACAATTCTTTCATTTTTAAGAAGAATCCTTCATCACAAATACCAATTTCAGATCAGTTACTTTTAGGTAATATGCAACCTCTTACAATTCCTGAAAAGAATTCCTCTAGTATTGAGATTTGCGCACATTTCGAAACAATATCTCAAATTTTATTTGATAAAACACAGCAATTACTGATCACAGGATCATCAGATTCCTTCATAAAGATCTGGCATCTCCCAGAATTGCATTTAGTTACGACTTTGTCGTCTCATGACAATAATATCACTCATATTGCTCTTAATCCTCAAAATTCGCTTTTGTTTAGTACCGGAACAGACAAAACCCTCTGCGTTTTCTCAATGACAGATGGCGCTTTTCGACAAAGAATAAATTTGAAGGCAAACATACTAGATTTATGCGTATCTCCTAATGGAAACTACTTAGCAGCATCATTCGATGATGGCCTTACACGTGTTTGGCGAATTCTTCAAGAAAAAAACAAAATTGATCCAAATGTCGAATTCAACATTCATGGATCGAATATTACTACTAAAATAGTATCAGTACAATTCTTTAATGACGACATACTCATGATGACCTCAGAATTATCAGAAGTTATTTCTATTTCCTTATCCAAGAAAAAATATTTTTCTAAGCATTGTAACGAGGAAGGGACAGTTGAAGCTGTTTATGCATCTAATGGGGATATTTTGGCTTCTTTGCCAAAGAAAAAGAATTTAATCTTAATTTCTTCGAAATATCGGACTTTTGATTACGTTTTATTGCCAGTTTATAAGGAAAAGCTTAAAGTAAGAGGTTTCGCGTACAACGCCGACGAATCGTTCATTTTTGCCGTTTCTCATTCAAAATTTATTATTTTTCGGAGAGAAGACTTTTCTGTTTTCTCTCAATGCGTTATTTTCGAAGATGAGTTCCTAACATGCCTTGCTCCTCATCCGAAAGAGCCAATGATTGCTTTTGTTGGAACAAATTTTGGAAATGCGGCTGTTTTGGATTTAAACAGCTACAAGAAGGTCCAACTGTTTTCCATGAAGAGTAACAGTAAAGTAGCACTCGCAAAGTGGTCAGATGATGGAAATCACCTCGCTTTTTGCGATGATCTCGGAAATTTGATTCTTTATGGAATTGAATGCGAAAAAGTGGTTTTGAGAGAACAATTTATGGGAAAGGAATTGAATTTGAACTCAAATGACTCGAAAGTTTTTGATGGAACTGGAAATCCGGTTGAACCTCAACCTCCTTCCTTCAAACTGCAGAACATGAAGCTGAATCTCAGTATCAAGCCAGGAAATACCATTTCTAATGCGGAAATCGACATTTCGGACTGGATTGATTTTAATTCCAACGATAAGATATGGTATTGCTCAAAGACAGAGGCATTAAGAATACCAGTGGTCAACACAAGCCCTCAAAAACCTGAAAAGAAGTATAATATCTTCCTTAATAATGATTCATCAGAAAATGACAACGGAAACACAGAATCCGATGAAGAAGTTACGTCATTACCACAATGGACCTACCAGACAAAGCAGGAGCAGCACTTCTACATCCCACAAGTCGGAGAAGAAATTGTTTATTTCAGACAAGGCCACCAATTCGCTTCTCGACTATTTAACGATGCGCAATTACGAAAACCATACGAATATAAGCCGAGTATGCCACGAACAGCTTTTGGCCAGATAATTGCAGCAAAATTTGCAATAACTCACTTCATTTTGACAATTGCTTTCCATAATATGAGCAATTTGGTCTGTGATATACCATTCCATCTACCTGACAGCGTTCCTTTCATTGTTCCTCTCTGGATTTACAAAGAATCATTAAATTTCATTTCAAAACTGAGAGTTGGATCGACAGTTTTCATTCCTTACCTAGAAGATGATGGTCTGAAGCATTACGAAGCGATGATTGAAGAGTTTGCACCTGATATTTCAAATAATCCCTTCGAATCCATCACTGTTGGCTTTGTTGAGGGCGGGGATCAGGCAAAGGTCAGTCCATGGGAGATAGAATTGGATGATTTGAAACCTCCTGAAACAATTATTTCAAAAATTCAGGAAAATCTTTTAGAAACAGTTGACAAACTGATTGAGATGTATCCGGTATATCATAAAGTAAGATATTCCAATATAGATGACATACTTTTACTCGCTTCTCAGCAACCTATGGATCTTTCTTTGTTTAGAGACAGAATTGAGAATAAATGGTACTACACAATTGAGGAACTAACAAAAGAGGCTGGTTTGTTCGGCCAAAATGCAGGATTAATCGGAATTCCTGAAGATATCGGAAATCAGATCACAAGAATGATCAGAACAGAGATTTCAAGAAAGATTTAATATATATAATAACCATGAATTTTGTTTATGTATAAAGATCGTGTTTGTTTATATAAATATAATGATTTTTGATATTTGCGAATCCAAAAGGGACGTTTTTTATTGGATTTTTAAAGTATTCAGGATCGCAACTTAATGCCCTTCAATACATATAGTTATCATTATATTTTTTATAAAATTATTAATATTTGATCTCACGTTGAAATATTGTAAATTACACGAATTTAAGTATGTCCATAATATTAAATCGTATAAAAAAAGTTCATATAAAATATTTTGGAACATATTGATTTAATGAATAATTTCGTAGCAAAATTCTTTAACTTTAGATGTGGATACGATTATGATGTACCAAATCCTAAAATACAATATTTGAAAAAACTTTACATCATTTGGAACATCTCTTTATGTAATTAATGATAAGAATCTTGCAGTAATACAACTAATTTGCATTATTTACAAAATGATAATAATGCATCTCAATTTGTTGAGTATTTTTGTCGCTAAACTTAATTTTTGTATGGACTCATATTAAAAATTTATTAAATTCAGCATCTTATTCAATAATAAAACAGTGATGTTCGACCGAACCTGTGATGAAAATTGAGTTTTTTCTGAAGTCAATCCAAATTCGAAAAGGATTGTTTTCTTATCAAAAATATACTCCTTATATTATTACATTTAATATGTTAGTGCTTAGAAATCAATAGTTTTTACTTTTCATCGTAATGTTTTTTTCCCTGTCAAAAATTGAATTCCCATCATATTTTTTTGACAGTATCTCAAATTAATCAAACATGTTCGAAATTGAACGGGTACATTATATCACTGATAAATACAACAAGAACCCATTAGACCCGTAAATGAAATTGAAGGAATATTCAATTTTGATAAGAGATCATTATTCTCTTAAAATATCATTTCATTTTTCTAGCTCATGGTCAACTTCTGTGTCCACGAACTCATCTATGGCCTTATTATCATGACAGGCTCTATGAACTTCGGCTATACAGTCGGATTCCCATCTCCTTTGGTTCCGTTCTTCAAAGATTCATGGGAAATCTCAACACTGGGAACAACATGGTTCAATGCTATTCTTCCTCTTTTCGCTATCGTTGGTCCATTCATTACAACTTGGCTTCTTACATTCCTTCCAAGAAGATTAGTTTTCTGCATCCTTCAAATTGCATCTGCAGTACTTTACTTAATCATGCTTGCATCATCTAAGAAAGCATTTGCAGTTATGATTGTCATGAGAGCTCTACAAGGTCTTGTTATCGGTGGTGTTACATCAATTGCACCAACAATGCTTGTTGAAGCTGCTCCAGCTGGACTCACTGGATTCTTTGGAAATCTTAACCAAATTGGCTGTGTCATTGGTATCATTATTATGTACTTACAAGGAAATTGGACAGTCAACCTCTCAAAGAATGCCACAAAATGGTGGTCTCTTGAAATTACATGTGCAGTTCTTAACTTTGCTGGTGCTGCACTCATTTGGATCTGCCCAGAAACAGGCGCTGTTCAGAAATCTGATGCTGATAACAAGGAAGAGACAAAGAAGGAATCTGTCTTCCAGAAACAGTATCTTGGCAAGTTACTTGTTGGTATTGCTATGATGTTCATTCAGCAATTCGCTGGTATCAATGCAATTCTTACAAATCTTGATGAAAACTTCAAGGAAGTCGGTGCTCCATTAGATTCAGGTATTGCTTCAACAATTTCCGTCGCTGCTCAGTTCATTGCTGTTTTCACATCTGGTTTACTTGTCGATTGGCTCGGCAGAAGACCACTTTTCTGCATTTCAACATGCGGCTGTGGCATTATGTTGATTATCTTTGCTCTTAACTATAACTACGGATGGGCAGATTGGCTTTCAATCGTTGTTATCTTCATTTACATGTTCTTCTTCGGAGCAGCTCTTGGTCCAATCCCATGGTTCGTTGTTCCAGAACTCTTCCCAGATTCAGTTAGATCAATGGGCGCTTCAATGATCTCAATGGCCAACCAGTTATTCTCATTCATTGTCATTTTCATCTTCCCATGGCTCAAGGGTAAGACAGATGAGAATGGTAAGAGAACATCAGGCATTGGTCTCATGTGGACTTCAATCATCTTCGCTATTATTGCTATTCTTGGTGCTGTCTTCGGTTTCTTCTATATCACAGAACCAGATGAAAAGAAGGAAGAAAATCTTGATTGGGATGAGAATAAGCAGCCAAAAGATGACAGCGAAGAAAAAATTGAAGCTTAATCGCTAATTTATTTCTTCAAAATATTAATTTTTATTATTATTGTAAAACTACATCAGTATAACAAAATCTAACTCTTTTTATCTAACGAAATCCAATCCCGTGTGTTGATGAATGGTAAACGAATGCAATTATAGTTAATACATACATGTAATGCAATCGTATATTGCGTCGATTGAAAAAAATATTACAGCCTTGTATTATCAGAAGTACCTTTTAGAAAATAAATCTATCCCTTCATCTATATTTCAAGAATCAATCGATTCAGAATGAATGGCAAAAAAATCTTGAATAAATTGCCAACGACCTCATTTTTTGAAATTTAATATGAAAAATAGAATCTTTATTAAATAGGTTATAAATTAAGCTAAAAAGTGACAATTTAGTCGGAAGTTCTTAAATCACAAGGTGCAAATATCAATGAAAAAAGATAAAGATGGGAAAACTGTGCTTCATATTGCAGCATATAATAATAGTAACGAAACTGCAGAAGTTCTTATTTCGCATAATGCAAATATCAATGAAAAAGGTGAAGATGGAAATACAGCCTTTCATATTGCAACACGTAATAATAGTAAAGAAACTACAATAATTCTTATTTCACTAAGTGCAAATATCAACGAAAAAGATAAAGATGGAGAAACTTCACTTGATATTGCATGATCATGAAGAATTAGTTGTATTCCTTATTTCACATGGTGCGATAGAATAATGTTATGACTACGATACTATTTTTTATTTTTCGGGTATATTTTCGAAGATTAATTTGATTAGAAATAAAAAATGGATAGGCTTTCCCCACTGGCACCTTTTAAAAGTCTATTATTTGTTTAATCATTCGTTCAGATTAATAAACTTGAAGAAGTCAGGAGATCTTCCGTTCTCATAATTTATTGATAAAGTACTTCTTATCATTTCACAAATTTATTATCATTCGTTTTATGATATGAAAAAAGTGACAAATAAATCAATCATTGAAATTATCTCAGGATCTTGTTAAAATTCCCACTAACTTACTCTATGATAATGCTTTTGCCAGAGATGGCATTCATATCTAACAAAGAGTGGAATCATTACTTTCTGAAGTAATATTTAATTCAAATTGTCGAAACTGCTTGCTATTATAGTAGCTCTATACCTACATTTAGAGACTAATAACTCAGATTATATCTGGAACAAATAAACTAATCCTTGGTCTGATGCTTTCAATATCTAAGTTCGATTAATTTTTTTCTGAGTACGATAAAAAATAAGATTAAAAATTGTTTTACTCATTAAAATTTTAATAACAACATATAAAATGCTCTAATTGATTTGATTTTGAATTCTTTCAAAATCTCAAAACGTTTGAATTCCGAAGCTTTTCGGTTGCAAAAGAAATAAATCAACTTTTATTCAGTGATCTTATCAATGCACGCAAAATAATTTTTTTCTCCACAACCATTGAAACAAAATTTGAAAGAACCGGATCAATTTTTTTTTAAATTAGACAATGATACCGAGCATTCTTGGATTTTCGGTTAATCTTTGCAGAACTGCTTTGACAATGGCCTGGGAAGCTTATGGCGGCGCAGCATCTTTCCATGATGGAACTATGATTTACGAAAATGACAAAAATCAGGTTTATCTTCCATTATTCTACGTGTATGACTTCAATCAAACACTTTATGTTTCTATCAGAGGCTCTTCATCCCAGAAAGATTGGTATACCGACTTTAATTACACAGAACGTTATGAAGACTTTGGAGATTACAAACTTCATGTTCATGGCGGCTTCTTCAATTCCTCAATTAATGTTTTCAATCAGATCAAAGACATTATCGCCAACTATCCAGGAAGAATTATTTTTACGGGTCATTCATATGGAGCTTCCGTTGCTACTGTCCTCGGTATTTACTGCATGACACATCCAGATACTGCTAAAAACGCACAAAGGATGGGCGTTTTGGGCTTTGCAGCAGCGCCTGCAATTGAAAAGGTTCCAGAACCATTCCATGACCAGGTTTGCTCTTTTGTTTATGAAACAGATATAGTTCCAACACTCTCAATTATCAACGCTTATGATACTTTCAAAGATTTTATTCCAAAATCTGGAGCTACCAAAGCTCTTCTCAAAATTCTTATCAAGACAGCCGTAACTATCCTTAAGGATAAGAAAGGCTTAGCAAATTCCTTATATAATGGAATTATGTCTGCATCAGATCAAATTGTTGATGATCTTTGCGCTTACAGTGTTGATCAAACATCATGCCATATCGGACAGGTTGTTGGTATTACATACCATCTAAATACTGTTCAAGGTAAACTTTCCGAAGATATGGTTGATCCAGCAACTCTCAACATATTATCGATCAGCCAGACATGCGCTGATGATCATAACATTCAACACTACTCTGACTCTCTCAACGAAAAATCAGATGATTAATGTATTTTTTTAAAAAATTCTTTTCTTCACCATTTCTTGCTTAGGAATTCATAATTAAACTATATGTTTTAGTCAAATAATGATATTTCGAATATGTTTAATTTCTATTTTTTGTGACAACTTAAATAGAACCATTTTAACCAACCTTAAGAGACTACACACTTGATACAAAACCTATGCTCTCTTTTTCAATATTATAGAAAGGATTTTACTCGATATTGAGGGGACTTTATGCAGGAAAATCAGATTTGCAGTTTGAGATGGCGTACAAAGGTTTTATATTAGTAGCACGGCCTTCCTGTGATATCATTGAAATGGTTTTGAAATTATCATTGAAATCTTTTTTGAATATTAAAGATTCCCATAGAAAATAGACTAAAATGAGTTGGGAAAATATATTTTGATGAATATGGGAAAGATAAAGATCTGAATTTCGCCAAAACTTTAAGTTTAAGCGATATTCTACAAAATTTCGTAAAATAAATGCACTCTAGCATAATAGATGAATCCATTTTTCAAGTTCAAGTCTGGTTCGTTTTTTAATTCCTGAAAATGAATGTTCGCGGAATAAACGACGAGGGAGACGAAGCTGAACTTCAAATTTCAGAGCAAAGTGAGAGTTTTCTTGCAATATCCAAAAAGTTTCAGCAGGCAGTCACTTTAAGCCCCTCTGAAGAGACTGAAGCATTATTAGCTTCAATTATCACTGATATTACGAAAAAATCAAGTTCGGAATACGAGAAAATGCTTATATTCCAATGTAACAGAGAAATTTCAAGGAGTAAAATACAGCGTGGCAAGTTTCAAGAAGCAATTTCATACTTAATGGAATCCTTAAAATTCGATCAAAGCAGAACTAACCTATGGGCAGACCTTGCAAAGTGTGCACAAAAAACGCAAAATGATCAATTATACAGGGCAGCGATTGCAAAAGTACAAAAATTACGTCCGCAATTAAAATATAACTTAGCTAATCCAACAGTTCCAGACTTAATACCATGCATTTCATCTCCACAATTCATTTCATTTCAATTAAACGTCACTTGTTGGAGATATTACCTCGAAGCTCTTAAAATGGGCCATATTACCGAGCCAAATGCAATTCTCATACTCCAATTTAAAGACGAAGTAAATTATGTCCAGAAAGAACCTAAATACGCATTTCCGGAAAATATTAAACAATCATACTTCCAAGAACCTCAAGGCAAGAACGTATTTGCAATCGGACGATTTACAATTCTTGATTTTATTGCAAGATTAGGCGCAGATCCAATTTCCAGCAATACATGGGTTTTTAATTGCTCTGTAAGCTCAGTTTTAGCCTTAACATTGAATAAACTTGCCGAACTACGCTACAATGAACCTGTTCCAGGTGATGCAGCCGTCGAAATGATAGATTTAGCACTTGAATACGTTTTTGATTTACTAACTCCAAATGCAAAGCTTTTCTATGCAGAATTAGCAGCAGAATATCAGATAGGATCAGCTCCAAGGTTCATTAGTGGGATTATTGAACCATTTTTCCATCTTCCAAACGCATTTCTCAGAATCTGTTACATAAAACTCGAAATTGCTATCTCCCAGAATCGCCACTACTATGAACTCGAGCGTTTGATGAAAGCCTTCACTAAACATATGAAAGAACCAGTAAATTTAGGTCATATTTCTTTAAGAATGGACAACAAGCTTGTTAACGAGAAGAATGAGCAAATATATATTCTACAGGCCATAGATGACCCATCAACAACGAAAACAGTTGAAATGGCCTGTCGATATTTCTCTCCTCATCAACTATTGACATTTTTATCGTTAAAGAACGTTGTAAAATTATTTTTACAGTTCGACGATGAAATGGTCAAAGGTGTTTTAATCAATTTTCTCAGGATGCTTCCAGCTCACATCCGAAAATCCTCAGGGGATGTACAGATCTTGGACCCACTATTCCACAGATTCACTTATGCTATGAATGATGAATGCGTTCAGCAGTTATGGAAAATTTTCATAACATTAAACGAAGTGCAGTGTCCAAAACCAACATTATTCAACTGCGCAATAGCATATGCCTACGCCAGTGTTCTTTACAGAAACAGAACTAAGCATCTTAGCAAAATGCATAATCTTCTTGGTTCCGCCTGCCACAGGGAGAACGGCAGGTTCCTAGAATTATTAATTGATGCATTAATCAACGATCCGAACCACAACGAGATTGATTTAACCAAAGCATTTGGTTGTTATTTCTCCAACGTTGCCATTTCCACATATTACCATGATTCCAAGCTTCTTCTTAGATGTTCACCATTAATGCAGCCCTTCTACGAGCATCTAAAGAACCTAGAAGACAAAGGAAACACAAATCCGAATAATTTCTTCAATCCTTATCTTCTTTTATGGATGCATTACATCAAAGAGAGGGATGAGAACAAGACCGATTGTTGTCTGAAGAACATTGACGGATGGAGAGTCTACAAAGTCGTTAAAAGAAACGAAAACAAAATTCTTAAAACGATAAAACTTCCGAAACACATGACCACGAGTTCACTTTTAGAAGACATGCTTCGAAATGATCCCTCGAACTCCCCTGAGTCGAGATTAGCCCTTCAGAAGATCATCATCAAAGGCTACATGATACAAAAACAGCAAGAAGCTCATTCAAGGATCATTGCGAACATTCCTCCAGAAGAAATGTCAATAAACGACGATACTTCGAAATTAGAAGAAGTTCTCAGGCAAATCTCACAAGAAGAGAATCCAACGCATTACCAGAAACTCATACACGCGATTGTCTCTTCTTTTGTTTATCATGATAAAATGCCTGCTTTGAATGAACTTTTTGAAATCGAAGCTTTCGTTGATCAACCGAAAAAAGAGGCGAAAAGAATCTACTGGATCTTGAGGTTGATGGAGGAAAATGGAATGATCAGAGATGACAGAATGATGCAGCTTTTGCAGTATTCATTGCAATTCGTTAATACTTATGCATCAACAAATAAAATTCCAGCTGAAAGTTCGATTTTGTTGTTAGTACAAATATCGAAAATTTCAGGAGATATAGGAATATTAAGGAAAGCAATTGAAGTGTTTTGCCAATCAAAGATAACACTTCCACATCCTTACGTAGAACTTGCAAAACGTGTTGAGCCTTTGGAAGCTTTCAAACTCCTCCAAAAAATGATAAGAAACAGAGTTTTGAACATAAATAACTATGTTCATTTCGAATACAAAGTTCCTTTCTTAATGTGTCATCCTCACGATATAGAGGACATCAAACGTGAAATTGTCAATTTGTTTATTGACAACGCAGCGAAATCTGGAAACTACGCAAGTTTCTTCATTTTGGTTCATCCGTCAGGAAGAACTGACAGAAAACTGTCAAAAGTTTTCAGAGAATCGAGATACGCGTTTGGTGTTGACAGAGCTTATATTTTTGTTCGCTATTTCACAGCATTGATCAAGGACTATGAATCTACTAGCGAACACAAGAAAGACCAGAACGAAAGAAGTTTGGACGCGCTGATGAAATCAGAACATATTTTGAATTTGAAGTTGTCAGATGGAAATTATATTGTTCCTGTTGGTTTGAGAAATGAAATCAAGGAATTACAAACAGGTTTCTTGAAGACAATGTGGAAGTCGATTCTCAATCAGGAGATACCTGATGGAGCAACAATTAATGACTTCTTCAGACAAGTCTATCAAACACAAGACAGTGTTGAAAAAGAGGAAGAAGATGACGGAGAATTCGTTGATGATAATGATGAAGAAGAAGACGATGATGATGAAGCTTATTCAGCAGCTACTGCAACAGAGAATGATGAAGAAGATACTCTTGAAGATGATAAGGAAGAGGAAGAAGAAGAGGATGCTGAAGCAAATGATGATGGTGAGGAAGAGGAATAATTTTTTTTATGTTATTTATTTTTATTTTAGATATAATTAAAGTTTATCTTTTAAAAAAATACTTTGGTTTTTATAAATCAGATTTAAAGAACGCCCAAGGAGGATTAAGGCTGCACTTACGCCCGTCTGACTTTAATTCAAATTTTTGACAAAAGGTGTGAAGCACCATTCAAAATTAACCTTAAACATTTGAATTGAAGCCCGTGTCATAGGGGCGTAAGTGCACCCTTAAGTTTTTTCCTATTTTAATTTCGACAATTTTTAAAGTTGCGATATGTTTTATTTTAATGTCAAAATTTCGTGTTAGAAGTGATTTTACCTACCTTATATCGATTATATGCTAAATCTGATAAAAGTTCGATAATTGTAAAAAATATGATGTAAATTGTAAAATAGTTGAAAAAACTTGAGGTATCTTGAAATGCTTCGAATGGTATAATAATTGTGTACAAATTTATTTGCATTAAATTGCTAAAATTATGAGATTGAAAATTTCTTCGAAAGATATTAATTAAAGTCAAGAAGCAAGAGATTTTATAATTGATGTAAATTATTTGAGACCACGTTTGAAATAGCTCAAACATTCATAAAATTATAAATTTGAAGTAATATAAGCATTTTTGAGATGCAAAATTTCTAAAAAAAAAACTACGGTCTCGATTTTTTTCACTGCTTGTAGCGACATCGTATATCTTCTAATTTCTTGAATATTTGTTTCCAAGTTAGATAATTGCGATAATGTTATATAGCCGAAAAATTCAAGATATGCCAAAGCGTTCTATACTGCTTTGTGATATTGACAACTCTTCAAATCCCACAAAAATTATTTACATTTTTGTTTCAAAAAGAAAAAAGAAAAAAATTGACAAAACTGTAAAAAAGCAAATCCTCGAATCAATTTACATCGGTATTCAACTTATAAATTAATATTAAATAATCATGCATATTATCTGGTGTCAACAAAATTTGAAAAGAAACATCCTTTTGGTCTGAGGGGGGCACAAACTTGCCCACTGAGGTGAAGTGAAAAGTGACAGGCTTACATGTCAAAAATGTAAAGTGTCAGATTTGAAACAAAGAATGGATTAATTTATTATTATATGATAGAGAGATTTGGTAAGTTACTATCAAATTTGTAAGTAAGGGAAAAAAAAGTAAGAAAGAAAAAAATTTTTAAAAAATAAAAAGCCACTCGCTTCGCTCGCGGTTGACAAAAAGAACAAATTCGAAAAATAATTGTATGAAATTACGAAACTAAGCCACTCGCTTCGCTCGCGGCTTAAGAAAAGAACAGATTCGAAAAAAGATTGTACAAAATTACGAAACTAAGCCGCTCGCTTCGCTCGCGGCTTAAGTAAACAACATATTTCAGATTATCGATACTAAATTTTTTTTATTTTATTACATTTTTTTTGCTTTTTTTTTGAAAGCTTCTTAACTTAAATCATGGAATGTCTCAAAGACAAAAGTAGCATACAGCATGTAAAGCTAAAGAAAGGTAATCATAATTAATACCTTAATTTTTAATATTACGCATTTTTAGGTGCAAAATTTAAAAACATTCTAATACAATAGAGCAGTTTCCAAAAGTAGCATACAGCATGCAAAGCTAAAGAAAGATAATCATAATTAATACCTTTAAAGTTTAAAATCTTGATTTTTTTTAAAATCAAATATTTATAACTTTAATACATACAGCTTAAACCTTATACTTGTTTTCTCTTGTGAGAAAGCAATCTTACAAAGCTAACAATCCTAAAAAATAAAGAATTAAAATTTAATAATTTAATCTAAAATTAAAATCAAAATTAAATAAAATGAGTTCTTTGTAATAATACTTTCAAGGTAGGATATATTTTAGTGGGATCTATTGAGTCATCACTAACAGCATTGAGCAATCTATTGAGCATTGAAATACTCTCGATTTTTCTTTGTCTTTTTACATCAATTTCTGCGTTAGTTGCTTTTTCCATGATCCTAATGACACGGTCATCTGCTGGATTTTGATCAATTTTGAGTTTGATAACGAAAGATGGTATCACTTTTGTATAAATTTCTATAATAACATCATCAATTCTGAGATTTTTTCGATCAGGAAAATAGTCATGTTTGAGTGTTCTAAAATGAGCTTCGGCAATATTGTTAGTTGCGTCGCCTTCACGCCTGTCACGAGCAATCCATCTTGATATGTTGTAACGCCATTGTCTGTTAAAGTATTGAGATGCTGTTGGATCTGTGTCGAGCAACTCCAGAACTTGATCATAGGCAGCATTTGCTTCTTCCTCATGTTCTGCATCTAATTTGAAGACTAAATCCTTCATCAAATTATAGAATTGTTCAAATTTTTCTTGAGAAGAAAACTTATTTGATTTGCGAAGAATTGCACGAAGAACATGTACTCCGCACCAAAGTATTTGAGCTTGTGGAATGCTTTCTTCTATTGCTTGAGCTATCTGTGGAGCACAGTCCATGCTAATGTATTCTGGCTCAATTGTTACCCATCTGAGATAGGCGCACACGCAAACTTGAATGTTTTGATAAGTGTCTGGTTGACAAAAGAAATATAAAAAAGGGAAAATGTGAAAATCTTTGATTTTGCCAGTAAATGCATACAATGGAATGTTTGATCGCAACAATTTATAGGTGCTGTCTATATGAAATGTCTTGATACTATGCGCATAAGCTTTGCCTTCAAAAGGCGCGTAATAGAAACACATATTATTGTCTGAGACTTCAAATGCAATGAGATCATCTGGAGATTCTTCTTGTACTGTCTGAACAAAGATTTGCAATGACACAACATCGTCAGGAGAATATCTAGTTTGAAGAGCATGTATTCTCTCTGCAAATCGTTTGATTGCACGTGGTTTTTGAGCGTACATCTCTGGAATGGACGGACCTGTAAGAGGAATTTCAAGATCTTTGAATGCATTTAGCTGTGCTATCGCTCTTTGATTGTCATCTGTTTGGAAGTAATGTTCTAAATATTTGCGATAAAAGACAGACGAATATTGACTTTTGTCATTTGGGGCGGAATGATCATGTTCTTCAACTATTTTGATTAGTTTGTATTTATTTTGATCCAAGATTGCAACATTAAAATGTGCAGGACATTTTGGATATTTGCAGTGGAATGAAATCTGAGATCTTTCTTTCCTGACACGTTCACCATATCCATACTGTGCTTGTATTTCTTGTTTAACTCCAAATTTACAAAGATCCATAACAGTAAAGATAGTTTCTTCTTCTAATTCCATTTGAAATTGAAATGAAAATTAAAAATTCAGAAATTTGAATAGATTTGGTCTGTAATTGAATGAGAATAGCAGTTTGTTCGTCATTGTTTGAGGCAAGAGTATTATAGGAATATTATATGATGGATTTGAGTTGCATATAAAGAGTGCAAAAGGATAAAGAGAGAAATTTTGTTAGATTAAATTATTAAATTTTAATTCTTTATTTTTTAGGATTGTTAGCTTTGTAAGATTGCTTTCTCACAAGAGAAAACAAGTATAAGGTTTAAGCTGTATGTATTAAAGTTATAAATATTTGATTTTAAAAAAAATCAAGATTTTAAACTTTAAAGGTATTAATTATGATTATCTTTCTTTAGCTTTGCATGCTGTATGCTACTTTTGGAAACTGCTCTATTGTATTAGAATGTTTTTAAATTTTGCACCTAAAAATGCGTAATATTAAAAATTAAGGTATTAATTATGATTATCTTTCTTTAGCTTTGCATGCTGTATGCTACTTTTGGAAACTGCTCTATTGTATTAGAATGTTTTTAAATTTTGCACCTAAAAATGCGTAATATTAAAAATTAAGGTATTAATTATGATTACCTTTCTTTAGCTTTACATGCTGTATGCTACTTTTGTCTTTGAGACATTCCATGATTTAAGTTAAGAAGCTAAATTCTGAAGTTTACATGATCCTCTCGTGTGCACCCTTAAAAAAATGCAAAAAAAATTTAATACTTTACTGGCTGGGCAAATTTGTCGCCGCCCCTTTTGGTCTATTCAAATCTGTAATCAAACCGGATAATAATGAGAACATTAAATATTGCTTGAAAAAAATATTTTAATCGGGCATCCAAGCAACCTAAATATTTTGTTGCAGATTGTGCATTGAATATTTTCAAAGCAATAACCAAATTATTTCAAAATAATCCCGACGTTCAATTATTTTGGTGTGCATTGAAGGTTATGAGAGCTTTCAATAGTAACAAAGAAAAATTTAAATGAAACAATGAATTTTACAAAAAAATAGATAAAAATGAACTATTTATGCTAATCAAGGAAAATGACTGAACAGGAATGTTTAAATTGTATTGAGAGAATTAAAATTTATATTGAAAAAAAATCAAGATGTTGATGATTATTTAAAAAATCAATGGTTAAATTATCTGAAATAATGGCTAGTTTGTTATAAACCGTCAACCGTCCCTCTCACAAATAATATTTCAGAAAGTCTTTTTAAAAAGCTGAAATATAGTTCGTTCAGTAATTGCTTAGCATCTCCATACCTGAATATGATATTTCTGTTCTAATTCCATGTTTAGAAACTTTATTAATAGTAGCTAAATAATATTTATATAATTCTTATTTAAAATTGTTATTGGAGAAGAAATAATTAAATAAACTTCCCAAAGATAGAAATTCTAATTTTATGTTTCAAAATTTTTAGATGATAAGCATTATGATTTTTTATTTCATTGTTAACAAAGTTTTCAGGAGGCAAAATATGTACCCAACAAAATAGGAAGAATGAACTAATGAATTACATATTAAATTCTGTATAATCTTAATGATTTGGAAATTGCCACTTATACAAATTATTTCGATGATTTTTGACAAAAAAACTCACTATAAATTATTTTTTATATAACATCATAAATATAGATTAAAAGAATCAAATAAGTTACCATATTATAGTAAAACATTAAGTATTTTAATATGGTAGAATATACTTGGATTATGTTTTTTCCAATATTTTAA